TCTGCAATTTGGTTTCTGTCTTTGCTGTGTTTGGTAACCAGAGCTTTATTGTTGATGAATTGGTTAGACTGCACAATTTTTTGTGTGTTAAAGCTGTGTGTGTGCACGCGCTTGCTGCTTCTGGCTTTTTGTTGTTGTTGTTTTGTTTGTTTTTGCTCATAGCTGTCTCTACCACTGCTTTGTTACAGATTATTTTGAAAACATATTGTCTCCTTTGCTGGCAGTATGTTGTCACTGATTAAAATTTTTTTTTTTCTTTTTGGGGTCCAGTCGTGGAGCCTGAACTCTGGGCCTGGGCGCTGTCCCTCAGCTCTACAGCTCAAGGCTAGTGCTCTACCATTTGAGCCACAGCGCCACTTCTGGCTTTTTTCTTTTTGCTGAGGAATTGAACCCAGGGCCTCATGCATGCAAGGCAAGCGCTTTACCACTGAGCCACCTTCCCAGCCCACCGATTAAAATATTTGCCCTGGGGATGTAGCCCTGGTGGAGCCCCTGCCTACCACCTATGTAGCACTAGGTTTGATCCCAACATTGGCCCTCCCTGAGTTAAGACTGGAATTCTGGTAGTACTTTGTCTTTAAATAACAGTTCTAGTTTTGAGAGAAAAAAAAGTCACTTCTCTGTAGTTAAAAGGATTAATATTGGAGTATCTTTCACAAAGGTTTAATTTACTCTCCGTTAAGTTCAGAATTGCTTACTGTCTACATGTTCTCCGTTGCTCCACTGGTACAGAAGATAATAGTAAATAAATGTTATGTGTAAAGTATTACAGAAGGCAACTTGCTTTTTTAATCTATGCATTGTCGAGCATTTTGAAGAAGAAATTTTATTCCTTGATGTAAAAAGTAACTGTTGCATGAGTTTGGAAAGTGCACCTCTGTGTGTTGTGTGTGTGTCGGGGTGTGTGTGTGTGTCTGTGCGCACACGCTTTTAGCAGTAAAGCAGCATGGCTGAGAATGCACTGGAAAACAAAAAAACAAAAGCTCTGGGTTAAAGGTTCCTATTGGTATATTGGTGTCTAAGTAACAGCTGCACAATCAGTCTTAGGAGGAGGAGGTCATCTTAGATGATTGCTGCTATTGCATGAACCCAGGCATCTATTACATGAAGTCAGGACCAGCATATTCTCTTCAAACATTTTCCCAAGGTTTCCTCCCATCAACACCATTCATTTAATAAATATTTATTGCTTACAATAAGATATATCCGGCCTGGGAAGGTGGCTCAGTGGTAGAGTGCTTGCCTTGCATACATGAGGCCCTGGGTTTGATTCCTCAGCACCACATGAGCAAAAAGAAAAAGCTGGAAGTGGCGCTGTGGCTCTAGTGGTAGAGCACTAGCCTTGAGCTGAAGAGCTGAGGGACAGCACCCAGGCCCAGAGTTCAGGCCCCACGACTGGACCCCCCCCCAAAAAAAAAGATATATCCACATCCCTTCTCATTTGTGTAGAATTTCTTGCCCAGATTTGATACAACAGTCCAAAGAATGCTTGCCAAATCACTGCTAAGAAGTCTTACTCTTGAATTCATTGTCTTTCAGATAATGTGTGACATTTGGAGCACATTGGTGAATTTACACGTGACCATATTTTATGTTTTCTGTGGTGACCTAGTTCAGTCATGCTATTATTAAAACATCTGTCATTAATGAGAGATGGTGAGCTTTTTGTACAACAGTGAAAACTCCATTTTTGGCTTTTGTACTCAAGGCTGGGGCCCTACACTTGAGCCATGCCTCCAGTTTATAAAGGCTTAATTTAATAAGTGCTTTATTAGAAAAAGAACCAAAAGCAGAAGGGCATGTGTTGACTTGTTGCAACATCCAGTGCTGTTGATGTACTAATGAGGATAAATCTGACACAGAGGTCTCTTCATAATTGACCCCAATGGAGTCATCAAGCATCTGAGTGTCAATGACCTGCCAGTGGGCCGGAGCGTGGAAGAGACCCTCCGCTTGGTGAAGGCGTTCCAGTTTGTGGAAACCCATGGAGAAGTCTGCCCAGCAAACTGGACACCAGATTCTCCTACTGTAAGTTCTCTCAAAAGCTGTGGGAAGCCGGGCACCAGTGCCTCACGCCTGTAATCCTAGCTACTCAGGAGGCTGAGATCTGAGGATCGCGGTTCAAAGCCAGCCTGGGCAGGAAAGTCTGTGAGACTCTTCAATAAACCACTAGAAAACCGGAAGTGGCACTGTGGCTTAAGCAGTAGAGCACTCGCCTTGAGCTGAAGAGCGCAGGGACAGTGCCCAAGCCCAGAGTTCAAGCCCCAAGACCGACCAACAAAAAAGCAGTGGGAATCCAGTAGAGGGTCCCAGGTCTTCTCTTCTACCAAGAAAGCCCACCTTGAAGCAAGAGTGCAGATAGTACCCATGGGGTAAGGCTGTGGGTAGGGGGTGGGCTATAGGATGATTGAGGCTATGTATGGAATAATTTCCCTCCATATATTTAGAAGGAAACAGACCAGTCTAAGAAGGAGCTTTAGTTCAAAACTGGGAGCTTTTAACTTACTTTTGAAACTGTTATTACAAAGTCACCATTATCTAATTAATTGGCTTTATACTTTCAGATCAAGCCAAGTCCAACAGCTTCCAAAGAATACTTTGAGAAGGTCCATCAGTAGATGATCTGTGTGCACCTGAACCTTCACTACAGAAAACAACCTCAGCTGGCGCCCTTTTTGCATTTCAAAGATTATTTATAGAAGGAAAAACCCAATCATGCTTGTATTTATAGATACTTCTATTTCTCTTTAACAAAGAAACCCCTCTTGTTTCCATTTCCTGGAGAGATATCATTCTTAATGTTTTCTTTTTTGTAACACTGGCTAAAACTTTGTCCAGGCAGTAGTTAGTAGCCAACAGAAGTCCTTTATTGGCAATGTCCTTATTGATCATGTTTTTAGTGGGCAAAGAAAACACTTCCTCCTTAGCCTTCCAGACTTTCGTTGCTCCAAAGTAACCCAAGTACAGAAGGCTTCTGATCAAGAGTCCTGATTTTTCTTCTTGAAGTTCTTTGTATTAAACTGAATTTCCTTTAAGACAACATAGCTTTATGTTATTAGGCTCTGCTGTCCAAGCTAACTCAAAATGGATGTCTGTGTGATGGAAACAAATGTGAATTGAGACTAAAACACGGTGGAAACGTGACTTAACTGATCATGCATGACCCTGTCCCTGAGGTTTCTAGTTTACAGTTATTTTATTCACTAGCTGACTTAGTTCAGTGTGTATTTTCAAATAATGATTAGATGTAATTATAAAGGATCTATATTAAATCCAGAGATTGAATTTTGATTAAAGTGCTTGATGTAAAATATAAAATAAACATACTTTAAAATACTTGAATTTTTCATGTCATTAGCTATTGAGTCAGCTTGATCTAGGCTCCGCTTTTCTGATTCCATCCACACTTTGTGGGCATTTACACAGATGCTGCCTCCACCCAGGAAAGTCAGTCTGTAGAGCAATCAGATAGGGAAATAGTTGAGTAAATTACTGAGTGCTGGCCCTGTGCCAGGCACCTGGATGTTGAAGGCATGGGATGGAAGGCCTGTTTTTCTCTACAAATGTCCCCCAATTGATTTAGTATTCAACAAAGAAGAGGGGGGAGGAAAATCCAACAAAAAGCCTGTCTGGCTGATAGGTGGCACACTACACAGTGCAGCTGTCAAGGCAAACAGCAAACTTAGTTTAATGTTCTTTTAAAAATTCTCAATAAGCCGGGCGCTGGTGGCTCATGCCTGTAATCCTAGCTACTCAGGAGGCTGAGATCTGAGGATCACGGTTCAAAGCCAGCCCGGGCAGGAGAGACCGTGAGACTCTTATCTCCAATAAACCACCAGAAAACCGGAAGTGGCGCTGTAGCTCAAGTGGTAGAGCGCTCGCCTTGAGCTGAAGAGCTGAGGGACAGTACCCAGGCCCAGAGTTCAAGCCCCATGACCGACAAAAAAAAAAAATTCTCAATAATTTCCAAATAAGGAGTGTTGTGCTCTCCTTTCCCATGGGTCTTGCAAATTATGGCTCTGACTTTACCCAAGACCATATACATTTTTTTGTTGTTGTTTGCCTTGGCTTGAACTCAGGGCCTGGGCACTGTCCCTCAGCTGCTTTTTCTTTTGCTTAAGACTAGAGTTCTACTATTTGAGCCACAGCATCACTTGTGGCTTTTTCTACTTTATGCAATACTGAGGAATCGAACCCAGGGCTTCATGCATGCTAGGCAAGCACTCTACCAGTAAGCCATATTCCCAGCCCTTACATTGTTCTTTTTTTTTTTTTTTTTGTCAGTCATGGGGCTTGAACTCTGAGCCTGGGCACTTCCTGAGCTCTTCTGCTCAAGGCTATAGTGGTCTATCACTTTACACCACAGGGCCACATCCAGTGTTCTGGTGGTTAATTGGAGGTAAGTCTCGGACTTTCCTGCCCGGGCTGGCTTTGAACTGTGATCCCCACTCACCCTCTTGAGTGGCTAGGAGTACAGGTGTGAGCCACTGGTACCTACGTGTACATTTTTATTTTTGCCAGTCCTGGGACTTGAACTCAGGACCTGGGCACTGTTCCTGAGCTGCTTTTGCTCAAGGCTAGCACTCTACCACTTGAGGCAGTGTCGCTTTGAGCTTTCAAGCGTAATGCCCAAAAGCTTGGTGTGCCCTAAAAATCTGATGAGGAGGTGCAAGGTCTGGGTAAAGTATGGAGGGTCCCACACGCTGCTTACAGGGTCTTTGCAGTAGCTCTGTGACAAGGAAATCCCCTGGGCCTGGAGGCTCCAAACTCCAGAGCAGCTGGGAATGGGGTTGGGAGGACTGTGCCCTTGGGGGAGATGGGCTATGGGATCTGGGAGCTCACGGGAGACGATGGTGAGGACCAAGATACGGAGGGGGCGGGGATTGGTGTCTCGGGGGCGGGGTCTTCGGAGTCTAGGGGCTGGGACTTAGAGCCCGGGGCGGGGCCTACGGAGCCCTGGCGCAGGCGCGCGGCCACCTAGGGCGGCCGCAGGGCGGGCCAGAGCCGAGGCGCACGAGCGGGCCGCGGGGCGCCGTGGGGCGGATTGCCTGGCTTCTTTTCCAGGCCCCGCGGGGGTGGCTACGGCTTCCGCGCCCGTCACTTAGGCACCCGGAAGAGGAGGAGGAAGTGCGGGGCCGGTGGCTCCCAGCCTGCCCCGGCGCCGCCGCCCGCATGGAGCCCAACCTGCGCTTCGGCATCTGGGAACGCCAAGTACGCGTGGGCCGGCGCGGCGGGGGGCGGGGAGGGCGCGCGCGCGGCGCGTGGGGTCAGGCTGGCCCAGGTGACCTTGGCAGGCCACGTGGCTGCCCGTGGCTGCCGATTCCTCCTCCCAGAGGGGCTCGAGTGCGCCTTCCTCGCCCTTCCACCTCTGGAGCGGACCAAGATTGCGGAGGGCGCGGCTGCAGCCGAGAGCTTCGCTTAGGCCCGGGACTGGGCTGAGGAGGGTCTCCCCAAGGTCACCCTTCAGGGCGCCCTGAAGGAGGCCCGACCTCCCGGCGATCTCCGCCGAGCCTCTGCTGCGCAGCGCGTGGGAGTGAAGCGGGCCTCCCCGGAGCTCGGGCCTCCCTCCCCGGAAAGCTCACTGACACTCGGCCAGACCCCTCCGGCCGGAAGCCCCGGGCCGCGCCTCCCTCCAGCAGCGCCCTGGGTACTTTAAATGATAAGTAAAACCCTAGGCCTGTGGCTCACACTTGTAATCCTAGCGAATCACGAGGCTGAGATCTGAGGATCGCGGTTCAAAACCCTGCACGGGCAGGAAAGTCTGTGAGACTTATCTCCAGTACCATCAGAAAGCTGGGAGTGAAGCTGTGGCTTAACGTGGTAGAGCACTGGCCCTGAGCCCCAAAAGCTTAGAGGCTGGGTCCAGGCCTTGAGTTCAAGCCTCAGGACTGGCACGCGCGCGCGCACACACACACACAAATGGCAGGAAGAAATAACTGATAATGCTATGTTAATTTTAATAATACGTTGTTTAGCCTAGCAGTTGCCAAATAGTAATATTTCAACATATTACCTAAAAAACAAATGAGATGATTTCACCTACTTTTGCTATATTCTTTGTGGACCACGTATGTGATAGCCCTGCATCAAGCCCAACTCTGACTCCATTTCACAGCTCAGCTACTTGGGACCAGCCAACCAGCACAGTTCTAGTATTCTTTTGAAGATCATGACTTAGGTAGGGTCGTTTTGAAGGGTGGGATGTTGAGATGGGCATCTTAAGTGTGTGTGGGGGTAGAGGGCTTGTGGAGACAAACCAGGCTGGACTATAGTACTGAGATCTTACTGGTGTGTCTACCCTTAGTTATTAGTGTTAACTAGCTCTGAAAGCCAGGAAATATTCTGAGGTTTTTGGAGTTCTTTGCTTCAAGTGATATGAATGGAGGCACTTTGAACCCTAAAGACTGAGCTTACAACCCTCAGGGCCAGTTGATAATGAGTGGTTCCTGACACAGCCAGAACCCCTGGAGCTTCCTCAGGACCTTCTCACCTCAACTTCCTTTACCTGCAAGATGAGTGTGCTCAAAGCCAACTGCTGATAGCCCACACTTGTATTCTTGCTACCATGGAAGTTGAGATATGAGAACCAGTGTTTGAAGCCAGCCCAGGTAGGAAAGTCCTTGAGACTTTTATCTTTTAAACATCAAAAAACCAGAAATGGAGCTGTGGCTCAAGTAGAGTGCTGGCCTTGAGCTAAAAACAAAACAAAAAAAACTTAGGGAAACTGCCCAGGCCCTGAGTTCAGACCCCAGGATTTGTATGTGTGCGCGCGCACACACACACACACACACACACACGCACACACTTTGTTGAAAAGATTCTAAGAGCTGGGTGCAGGTGGCTCATGCCTGTAATCCCAGCTACTCTAGAGGCTGAGAGCTGAGGATTGCAGTTCAAAGCTAAGCAGGCCAAGACACTCAAAGCTAGAAATGAAGGTGAATAAAGTAAATTGCTACTTCTGCTATGTGTCTTGTTTTTATTAATTTCTCTGGTGCTTTTCTCCTACTTTAGTCTTTTGTTCAAAGATTTCTTCACTGGACAGAATTATTGGATCCTACAAATCTGCTCATTTCAATTGTAAGTATTTTCTTGTTTTCAGAGATAATTTCACCATTTTATATTGAAACTTGGAGATTGTGTTCCCCTTTTGAAAGTAGTTGAAATAACAGAGTTTATGAAATTATGTGTTTTTATTCTTTTTGATTGAGCATGTTAGGTTAGAAGGGTGACATAAGGAACTGGGAAGGTGGTTCAGTGGTAGAGTGCTTACCTTGCATGCATGAGGCCCTGGGTTTGATTCCTTAGCACCACATAAGCAGAAAAAGCTGGAAGTGGCACTGTGGCTCAAGTGGTAGAGCGCTAGCCTTGAGTTGAAGAACTGAGGGACAGTGCCCAAGCCCAGAATTCAGGCCCCATGACCAGACAAAAATACGTGTTTGTAGAGAGGTGTGTGTGTGCGTGTGCGTGTGTGTGTGCGTATGCGTGTGTGTGCGCGCGCATGTGCATGCGTGCATGTATGCATATATGTATGTTTGTACACATGGTGTGTATGTGTGCACACACCCATGTACCAGGCCTAGTCTAGGTGCTTGTGATTTAAAGAGAATAAAAACCAATTTTTCAGCTGGGCAAGGTGGTGTATATCTGTAATCTCAGCATTTGGGAGGTAGAAGCAGAAGCAACTTCTAAGACTGGACTGTTTCAAAACAAAAGCAAAGGACGGGGAATATGGCTTAGTGGTAGAGTGCTTGCCTAGCATGCATGAATCCCTAAGGTTCAATTCCTCAGTACCATATAAACAGAAAAAGCCAGAAATGACACTGTAGCACAAGTGGTAGAATGCTATCCTTGAGCAAAAGAAACTCAGGGACAGTACCCAGGACTGGTTTAAAAAAAAAAAAAAAAGTCAGGCGCCGGTGGCGCTAGCTACTCAGGAGGCTGAGATCTGAGGATCACAGTTCAAAGCCAGCCTGGGCAGGAAAGTCCGTGAGACTCTTATCTCCAATAAATCACTAGAAAACCGGAAGTGGCACTGTGGCTCAAGTGGTAGAGCGCTTGCCTTGAGCTGGAGAGCTGAGGGACAGCACTCAGGCCCAGAGTTCAAGCCCTACGACCCACAAAAAAGAAAAAAAAAAAAAAAAAGCAAATGTCAGGGATATTGGCTTATACCTGTAATTCAAGCTACTTGAAAGTTAAAGATCAGAGTGATCACAGTTCAAGATAGCCCTGATAGAAGTTATTGGTACTCATCTCAATGACAAAAACTGGATGTGGTGGTATATGCCTCTCATCCCAGCTATGCAGAAGGTCTAATAGAATGAAAGAAATCCAGGCTAGCCTGAACAAAAGCATATTAACCCTACCTGGAAATAAGGCAAAAAAGCTGAGGATATGATTCAGGTGGTAGAGAACCTGCTTAGCAAGTGTGAGACCCTGAGTTCAAACCCAGTACTGCCTCCAAAAAGCTTTATAACAGGGCGTATGGCAAATAACTTTAACTAAGGCCCTAAAGGGAATTGGGTAAACAGAGCAGGTGTGAGAAAGTGAGCCCTCAATTGGTCAGTTGGTTTAGTGCAGGGAACCAGGGAGATCTTGAAGGTCCAGTTCTTTTTTTTTTTTTTTTTTGGTCGTGGGGCCTGAACTCTGGGCTTGGGCACTGTCCCTCAGCTCTTCAGCTCATGGCGAGCTCTCTACTGCTTAAGCCACAGTGCCACTTCCAGTTTTCTGGTGGTTTTACTGGAGATAAGAGTCTCACAGACTTTCCTGCCTGGGCTGGCTTTGAACCGTGATCCTCAGATCTCAGCCTACTGAGTAGCTAGGATTATAGGCTAAGGTCCAGTTCTTCACCAAGAGAGCAGTGTCAACTGCTGAGGTTTGTGTGTCAAAGGGTCTTTTGGTAGTTGTATGCTGAGTGACCAGCTGTATTTGGCAAGCCATTCATTTGGGGGTGGCTCAGTTGTCCCAGTGAAGGAAGAGGATTTGAGTCAGTGTGGTGAGGGGTGGAAGAGGAGCTGCTCTTTGACCACTAAAAACCCTTTAGGACCAGAGTCTAAGGGCTGCATCCTTCTTTCCCTCAAGATGTTCCTTACAGTTATGTTAATCATAAAAACTAGGAAACAACCCAGTGCTAATGAGCAGAAAAATAGATAAAATGATATACAGTGGAGTGTTGAGTAGCACTAGAAGTATGAACTAGTTACAAGCAATTAATGAAAATGCGATGCTCAATGGAGAAACATAGAGGTGAGGATTGATGTAGCTTTGGTAGGATGGGAAAGGAATGAGACAGGGTAATGGTTCCTTCTGAAAAGCAAAATTAGAAGCAAGTATATCCAGATGTTCACAGTTACTAATTCTGGTTGAGGTTATTTTAGTTCTGTATATATGTATTTTTCTCTCACATTAAGAAAAGGAAGCTGAAGCCGGGCACTGATAGCTCACGCCTGTAATCCTAGCTACTCAGGAGGCTGAGATCTGAGGATCGCAGTTCAAAAGCCAGCCCGGGCAGGTAAGACGGTGAGACTCCTATCTCCAATAAATCACCAGAAAACCAGAAGTGGCGCTGTAGCTCACAGAGTTCAAGCCCCACAACCGAAAAAAAAAAAAAAAAAAGAAAGAAAGAAAAGGAAGCTGGGCGCTGGTAGCTCACACCTGTAATCCTAGCTATTCAGGAGGCTGAGATCTGAGGATCTTGGTTCAAAGCCAGCTCTGGCAGGAAAGTCCGTGAGACTCTTATTGCCAATGAACCACCAGAAAACAGGAAGTGGTGCTGTGTCTCTAGTGGTAGAGTGCTCTCCTTGAGCTGAAGAGCTGAGGGACAGTGCCCAGGCCCAGAGTTCAAGCCCCATGACCAACCAAAAAAGAAAAAAAGAAAGAGAGAGGAAACATGAACTGAACTGATTAGCCATGAACACGGGGCAGATGCAGGAATTTCTGGGATTCTGACTTGTGCCACCAGGGAGGCAGTTGATGTCTGAGACCTGGAGGAGTGGCAGCCACAGTAGAGCTGGAAGAATCTAGGAAACTGGAGAATCTATGTAACACTTGGGGCTGTCCTCATGGACATTCTCAGGGAGTGGAGAGCCTTGAAATCAGCTTTACAGTTGCGGTAATGTGTTTGGGAGACTGACTTGTGATTCTTAAATGCGTGCACAAATCTGAAAAATGCTGACTGTTGCTTTATTTCTCCATATTTGATTATAGGAAAGAATAGAAAAATCAAGACAACTATTGTTCACCAATGAAGATGCAGCCAGACACAACCTGAATGACCAAAGGGTATGTCTCCTGAGTGCAGATGTGCACAGATATGCAAGGTTCGAGGCTGGCTGAAGTTACCTTCAGTTGGTTTTACTTGGCATGGAGTGAAATCAAGTGGCACTTTGGCTATTAATCCTGTCATTGGACAGACACACTGCATAGGGGAACATCTTATAAAATTGTTGTTGTTTGTTGTTGTTTTTGGTCGGTTGTGTGGCTTGAACTCTGGGCCTGGGCACTGTCCCTGCACTCTTTAGCTCAAGCCGAGCACTCTACCTCTTGAGCCACAGCGCCATTTCCAGTTTTCTAGTGGTTTATTGGAGATCAGAGTCTCAGACTTTTCTGCCTGGGCTGGCTTTGAACCGCAATCCTCAGATCTCAGCCTCCTGTGTAGCTAGGATTACATGCGTGAGCCACCAATGCCCGACTTGTGTTGCTTTTTTTTGTCGGTCGTGAGGCTTGAACTCTGGGCCTGGGTGCTGTCTCTCAGCTAGCGCTCTACCACTTGAGCTACAGTGCCACTTCCTGGGTTTGTTTTTTTAGGTGCAGTTAGAATTCTGTCATATAAACCAGCAAGAAAACTGTTCTTCCTATGTAGTGCATATTAGTGAGATTCTTTATAGCTGATTCCTGAAATCTCATGGTAAACTCCAGAATTCAGACAAGCCCTCTGAAGTCAGAATCTGTTTTCCATCACAGGCAGTGTTCTGGGGCAGGATTATATTCTTGCCTGTGGGCTCAAACCAAATATTTTGTTACTTAGCCTGCAGCAGAGGGAGATTTCCAGAGCTCACAAACATCAGTCCCTCGAGGGAGCCCATGGCAAGTTCACATATTTAACTTAGTTTTTCTAAGAACTTCTTGTGGCCTTGGGGCTGACACTTCGACTCTGTTACAAATGATGTGGTTAATGGTGCAGAGTGAACTCCGAATGCAGCCAGCCTGAGCTGCTCTGAGCCAAGGGACAAGCTGGCTTCTGGATTTACTTAAAAGATAAATTAGGTTTTGGTCCATTCCATGTTTACATAGGACTTTTTAATATTCTGGGTAGTGTCTTCATAAGGATCATATCTTATCGTTAGTGCTTTTGTTTGGTCCTTTTTTTGATTTGTTCCATCCACGTAGTAGAAAATACCTATGGTCTTCCCTATCTTCCTGGCGAGGCAAAGGTCTCATCAGAAATAAGACTGCTCAGTGGTCATGTAAATTAGTGTAGCCACTATGGCAACCAGTATGGAGCTTTCTCAGAAAACTTAAATTAAGCTGGGCCCTGGTGGCTCATGCTTGTAATCCTAACAACTTAGGAAGTTGAAATCTAAAGTTCACGGTTTGAAGCAAGCCTAGATAGGAATGTCCATGAGACTCTATCTCCAGTTAAGCAGTAAAAAGGTGGAACTGGAGCTGTAGCTCAAGTAGTAGAGTACTAGCCCTGAGCAAAAAATAAAAATTAGGGGCTGGGAAGGTGGCTCAGTGGTAGAGCGCTTGCCTTGCATGCCTGAGGCCCTGGGTTCGATTCCTCAGTACCACATAAGCAAAATGAAAAAAGCCAGAAGTGGCGCTATGGCTCAAGTGGTAGAGCGCTAGCCTTGAGCTGAAGAGCTGAGGGACAGCGCCCAGGCCCAGAGTTCAGACCCCACGACCGGACCCCAAAAAAAACAAAACAAAACAAAAAATAAAAATTAAAAAAAAATCCAAAGATAGCACCCAGACCCAGAGTTCAAGGACCAGCACTTACACACACATATACACACACAAAACTAAAATAAAATAGATCTACTCTGTGGCCCTTCTTAACCACTTCTAGGCATGTATCTGAAGGAATATAAGTCAACATACAATAGAGGTAACTGAATCTCATGTTTCTTATAGAAATAGTCATGATAGCCAAGCTGTGGAATCAACCTAGTCCTACTACTAAGGATTGGAAAATAAAATGCCCTGCATATATATAGCATTTTATTTGACGATATTATTTGTCATTTATAGGAAAAAAAGAACTATAGATAATAGTGTTTAGATAAGCTCAGGAAAACCACATGTTTTTGCTCTTATGTAGAATCTAGAGTTTCATAATAATAATGATGTGAACTGACTGTGAAAAGGGTCCTGTTGAGAGGGATGAGTGGGAGCGGGAGGGGGAAGGTAGAGGGGTTGGGGTAGTAGATACTATAAAAATATACATATGTATGAATGCATAATGAAACCCATTACACTTGATAAAAAGGAGGAGGGAGAAGAGTTAAGAGTAATATAGATGGGTGAATTTGATTAAGCTACATTATATTCCTGTTTATAAATATAACTTTTTATATAATTTATGCTAATAAATTTTTGTTTTATTCATTTATTTTAGTACTAGGTTTGGAACTCAGGGCCTTGTATGCTCATTCACTCATGACTAGTGTGCTACCATTTGAGTCCCAGTTCCAGCTTTTTGCTAGTTAATTGGCAATTAGAATCTCTCAGATCTGTCTGTCTAGGCGGGCTTCAAACTAAGATCTACAGATCTCAGCTTTCTGACCAGCAAAAATGCCAGGAGGAGTAGCTCCAGGGGTAGAGCCATTTGTGAGTGAAAAGGCTGAGCCAGAGTGCAAGGCTCTGAGATGAAGCCCCTGAAGCAGTACTTCACAGAGGTTGGGTGGGGAGGGGGAGTGGGGGAGGAAAGGAGAAGGGGATAGGGAAAGGAAAGAGATTGGCCAGGAGACTTTTACTACTGAACTATCTTTAAAGTGTGCTTGTTTTTCCTCTTTTTAGATTAAAGAAGCATGGAAGAGGAGTCTTGTAAGTTTCAGCCCCTTCCTAATTTTTAGCCTCCTAAAATAATAAAAGCAATCATGCAGCTAACTTTTTTATCTGTCCTTTGAAGTCGACCGTGCACCCTGACAGCAGCAGGCTGATTCCTGCGTTCTTCCGGCCAGCAGGTGAGCTGATGCTGAGTACAGAAGTGGGTTGGGAAAACCTGGCTGCAAACAGAGAATTGCTTTTTTTCATTGTTCTATTCCCGGCCCAGTCCTTGAAGGGTTTCTGTGGACAATCTGGAAGTCACACCTTAAAAAGAATACTTGAAGGTTGTTGGGTTGATAGCAAAGAGCAGGCTCTGGGCCCAGAGCTGAGTCCATTACTGTGGAAAGATCTGGGCTTTGGGCAGCAGGGACCAGGCCTGTGGGGGAACCTGCCCTATTCTGTCAGGTTGGTGATGGTATCTGATGGTTTAGACCTGGCAGCTCGTGAGTGCTGCACGTGTTATGGATACTGCATAGTTTCTTGCTCTGTCTTCCATGGCATTCACTAAGATGATGGGAGCAGCATACGTGATCCATGAATTGTAAGCCATAAATGGGAAATAAATAGCCAACCATTTAGATTCTTCTTCAACAATTCATGAGAAAGATTAAGGTTAAGTGCAGGAGTTAGTGTTAAGAGGGAAAGGTATGGAAGTGGCACTGTGGCTCAAGTGGTAGAGTGCTATCCTTGAGCTGAAGAGCTCAGGGACAGAGCCCAGGCCCAGAGTTCAAGCCCCATGACCAACAAAAAGAAAAAAAGAGGGAAAGATAAAGCTTGGGACAGTGTATAGTGACTGTGGTTGCGTGGTAACTCTGTAGCTATGTGTGAGAAAGAATCGGAGTTGTCATGGAGATCTTGAGCACTTCATCTGTAGCCATGCTGCTAATCCCAGCTACTTAAAAGATGATTGGAACACTACTTAGAAAGTGATCTGGAGGGGCTGGGAAGGTGGCTCAGTGGTAGAATGCTTGCCTTGCATGCCTGAGACCCTGGGTTCCATTCCTCAGCACCATATAAGCAAAAAGAAAAAAGCCGGAAGTGGCGCTGTGGCTCAAGTGGTAGAGCGCTAGCCTTGAGCTGAAGAGCTGAGGGACAGCGCCCATGCCCACAGTTCAGGCCCCACGACCGGACCCCAAAAAAAAAAAGAAAGTGATCTGGAGTGGGCTGGGAAGGTGGCTCAGTGGTAGAGTGCTTGCCTTGCATGCATGAGGTCCTGGGTTCGTTTCCTCAGCACCACATAAGCAGAAAAACTCAGAAGTGGTGCTGTGTCTCACATGGTAGAGTGCAAGCCTTAAGCTGAATTGCTGAGGGACTGTGCCCAGTCCCAGAGTTCAGGCTTTACAACTGACAGAAAAAAAAAAAAGTGAATAAGGGAATAGTTTATTAAGTTTACAAATCTCAATGGCTGCAGGTGGTGGCATGTGCCTGTCATCTCAGTTACATAGGAGGCTGTAGTTAAAAGGGTGACACTCGAGGCTGGCACCCAAGAAAAACATGAGACCTTACCTGAAAATAACCAAGAAATGAGAAGGGCTAGGGGCATGGCTTAAATGATAGAGCACCTATCTAGCAAGTGAGCATCCCCCCCCCAAAAAAAAAAAAAAAAAACAAAAAACGAGGAAAGAAAAAAGAAGCTGGTTGCTAGTGGCTCATGCGTATACTCTTAGCTACTCAGGAGGCTGAGAGCTGAGGATGAAGAATCAAACCAGCCTGGGCAGAAAAGTGTGGAGACTCTATCTCCAACTAACCTGCAGAAAGCTGGAGGTGTAACTCAAGTTGTAGAGCACCAACTTTGAGCAAAAAGAAGTCAAGTGAGGGTGCAGGTAGAATTCAAGCCCCAGTACCAGAAAAAGAAAACTTTATCTGGAAGGATGGGTTAGTAACCGTTGACCCTGCTTCCCTTCAGGGAGAGCTCTGTCCAGGCTGGTGGTTATCTCCTGGTTAGATCTTTCTGTATTGGGCAGTTTTCATTTTGTGCCATGTGCATATAGTTACTATTTTTCCTAGTGAAAAAAGATAAGAAAGGTCTCCTTCAGTTCTGTGCCCTCGGGAAGTCACTAGGCGATGCCCCTTTAGGCCTGATCTCCTCGGGCGGCCCGCCTCACTGACTGCTCTGCTCTGCTCTGCTCTCCTTCCAGCTTTCCTGCCCTTGACGGCACCCATGGTGAGTAAGCTGCCACTCACATCAGGTTTGGGAAGAGGTCTGCCCATCTCCCTACCTCAGCTGGGTCCCTCCAACTCTGGGTCCCTCCCTGTCTCAGGATGGCCAGCTAGATGGACTCTGCTGTGACCCTGGTCCCTCTATCCCGTCTCTAGCTGGGCCTTGAGCTTCCCTGTGCCACACATGACGCCCTGTAGAGGAGACGAGTGCCCTGCGGGATTGCCCCTTCCAGCTTACTGTCACAAATGCCTGAGGTCATCAACTTATTCAAAGAAAAGGTTTATGTCGGCTCCTGGCTTCAGAGGCTGCGGGGCCATGGTTAGGTCGTCCCCTTGGGCTGGTAGCAAGACAGCACATTGTGGTGGGAGAGTGTCGGGGAGCAAAACTGCCTCCCTTAGGGCACCCAGGCAGCGAAAGAAAGGGGAAGGTCATGACCCACTGGCCCGAAGACCTTTTCCTTCACCTCCCAGTGTCACCTCAGGACCAGGCCTTTACACATTCAGCTGCAGCGAAGGCCTTTGGAGAGACATCCAGGTCTATAGTGCTTGCTTTCCCCAGATCCTCCCCCAACGTAGTTCATCACCCAGCGTTGGGAACTGCCCTGCAGGAACACTATGCACCTGGTGGTATTTCTGTTTTTGTTTGTATCACATTACAGACCATCCCTTCTTCTACACGTGCCCCTGTTTAGCTCTCTTGGCAAGTGCATGCTTCCCGGATGGCCTGCCGGATGCCCACAGGGAGGCTCCTGGGTATCCTTGGAGCCACTAGTTGAGGACCAACTAATTGCTCACTGAACATGGGCTTGGCCTCCGCCTTACTCTCCTGCCCTAGCACTAAGTCTCCCCTAGAAAGCGTTTTTGCTCCTGTAACTTTACTCTGCTTTCTTCTGAAAAGCTGTTTTTGTCAATGATGCCAGGAAAAGGAATGATGTCCACACTTGTCCCTCAGGTAAGGGTTCTTTCACTTACGTGATCACTGGGTTCTGTGGAGCTTGAAACCACAAAACCATAGCGTGATCCACTTGCCTCATGCCCCGCAGGTTTCCTTTTATGCCTACACAACAGCTTTCACCATCATCAATGGCAACTCCAGCTATGTGAGTTCTTACTGAACCCAGGCAGGGCGTGATTTGGGGTTATGTTGGATTTAGGATTTGTGTATGTGTGCATGTGCTGGTAGTGGGTCTTGAACTCAGGACCTTGGGTTCTCTCTTGGCTTTTTCACTTAAAGCCAGCACTCTACTACTTAAGCCACAGCTTCACTTCTGATTTATTGGTGGTTCAATGGTGATAAGAGTCTCACAGACGTTCCTGCCTGGATCCTCAGATCTTAGCTTCCTGAGTAGCTAGGATTACAGGCATGAGCCACCAGCACCCCACTGTTGTGTTTTGTTTGCTTGCTTGTTTGTTGTTGTTAGTTATCTTTGCAGGGCAGAAACTACTAATAGTGTACTTTGATTTTTCCCTTAGAGGCATCATGGGGCAGAGCGAGTGGTGTTAGGAACGGGAGCATTCAGTTCTTCAGCCTTCCTTGGAGTAGGTTTTTATTACCTATTAGATCCTTTCTCTTCCTCAAAATTCATAAAGCTTTATTCTGTTTACCAACGTATGTGTTAACCTAAGCAACTTAGAACATATGAGTCAACCTATAAGCATTTAAGTCAACCTATAAGCATTTCACTCAAAATAGTCACACTATGAGTCCTGAGTTTCCAAGTACATACAGGTGGACCTAGTATTCGAAGATTCTACTTCTGGGCAGTCAGCCAATTGTGGATGATAGAAGATACTTGAAAAACACTACATCTGTACTGAACATGTTACAGATATAAACAGTGCAATATGATAACCACTTACATACCCACTTACATTGTATTAGATACTCTTAAATCATCACAGATGCTTTTAGGTACATAGGAGATATACACAGGTTATAAGAGAGAACGCAAGAGTTTGCAGACTTTGGTATCTGGTATTTGGTATCTGGGATGTCCTTGCACTAATATCTATTAGAGACTGAGGGACAGCTGGACTCAATAGACCTCTAATGTCGATTGTGTCTTGCTTTGCATGTCACAATACTACAATGGTGAAAAATGCAGACTATAAAACCAAGTGTAGTTGGGTGCTGGTGGCTCATGCCTGTAATCCTAGCTATTCAGAAGGCTGAGATCTTAGGAGTATGGTTCAAGCCAGTCCAGGCAGGAAAGGCCATGAGACTCTTATCTCCAACTAACTACCAAAAAGTCAGAAGTGAAGCTATAGCTCAAGTGGTAGGGCACCAGCTATAAGCAAAAGAGCAGAGGAACAGTATCCAGGCCCTTAATTCACATACTAGTACCAACATACATACACACACACACACACACACACACACACAGGCACACGCACGCGCACACACACACAGGCACGTGCGCCTGAGAGTACCAACCAGTGTGAGCTGAGGTGAGAACTAAGTCAGCTAGCTCTGTTGCTCATGTCTTGTTCTTTTATTTTCTAGTTGTTCCCTTATTTCGTTCAAACAAAGTATCCCCTGATTAACCCTTTGATCAAAAGGGCCTTACCCATCATCTTTTTCGGTGAGTAAAAAGGGCGGGGAACGTGCTGTTTGCTGCTGTTTTCAGTCTTTGAGTCCTCCTCTGTCCCCTGAGACCTCAGGTGCCGTGACCACACCAGGACTGTTGACAGTGGTTGATGTGCAGCCTCCTGGGGCCCCAGGTCCAAATTGTGTCTTTGGCTTGAGATGTGACCCTCTTTCCGTAGATGCCTCTCAATTGTCAAAGGATGAACACTAACTTAGAAATTATTATTATTTTAAAGTGATACAAGAGGGCTGGGAAGGTGGCTCAGGGGTAGAGCACTTGCCTTGCATGCATGAGGCCCTGGGTTCGATTCCTCAGCACCACGTAAGCAAAAAGAAAAAGCCGGAAGTGGTTCTGTGGCTCAAGTGGTAGAGTGCTAGCCTTGAGCTGAAGAGCTGAGGGACAGTGCCCAGACCCAGAGTTCAGGCCCCACGACTGGACCCCCCCCCCAAAAAAAAAAGTGATACAAGAGATCAAACCTAGGGCCTTACACATACTGGGCAAATGCTCTACCACTGAGCTAACCCTCAGACCCCACAAAGCTTTTTTTTTTTTGGCCAGTCCTGGGGCTTGAACTCAGGGTGTAGGTACTGTCCCTGAGCTTCTTTTGCTCAAGGCTAGCACTTTACCACCTGAGCCATAACACCACTTCTGGTTTTTTCTGTTTATGTGGTACTAAGGAATTGAACCCAAGGCTTCATGCATGTTAGGCAAGCATGCTACCACTAAGCCACATTCCCAGCTTTATACAAATTGCATTTTAAAGTCTGTCTATACAGCCAGGCGCTGGTGGCTCACGCCTGTAATCCTAGCTACTCAGGAGGCTGAGATCTGAGGATCACAGTTCAAAGCCAGCCCAGGCAGGAAAGTAGTCTGTGAGACTCTTATTGCCAATTATCCACCTGAAAACTGGAAATGGTGCTATGGCTCAAGTGGTAGAGCGCTCGCCTTGAGCTGAAGAGCTGAGGGACAGCGCCCAGGCCCAGAGTTCAAGCCCCACGACCGACAAAAAAAAAAGAAGCTCAGGGACAGTGCCTACACCCTCAGTTCAAGTCCCAGGACTGGCCAAAAAAAAACAAAACAAAAAACACAAGTCTTAGGGACTTTCCTGCCTTGCTGGCTTTGAACCTCAATGAGCTACTGGCACCTGGCAACAAGCTTGCTTGCTTGCTTGCTTGCTTCCTTCCTTCCTTCCTTCCTTCCTTTCACCAGTCCTGGGGCTTGAACTCAGGGCTTAGGTACTGTCCCTGAGCTCCTTTTGCTCAAGGCTAGCGCTCTACCACTTGAGCCACAGTGCCACTTCTGGCTTTTTCTGCTTACATGGTGCTGAGGAATCTAGCCCAGGGCTTCATGCATGCCCCCTATGGCACATTTCTATTTCCCTAAAACCTTCCCATCTCCCCATGTATTCACTTTGCTTCCACTCCAAACCCTAGAAAAACATTACCTTCTTACTTTTGCCTCTTCTAGAAATTTCATATAAATGAGTTATCCAGTAGATATTTTGTGTGTTTGTGCCATTCCTGGGGCTTGAACTCTGGGTCTGGGTGCTGTCTTTTAACTTTTTTGCTGGAGGCTAGTACTGTATTACTTGAGGCACAGCTCCCCTTCCATGTTTTTGGTGACTAACAAGCTAAGAGTCTCATAGACTTTCCTGTTCAGGCTGTCTTCAAACTGTAATCCTCAGATCTCAGCCTTCTGAGGAGCTAGGTTATAGGCGTGAGCCTCCTGTGCCTACTCCAACCAGTAGTTTTTTTACATGGCTTCTTTTACTCTTTTGCTCATCCATTTTGAACCACACGTCAGTGTTTTGTTCTTTCTTACATTAGTACCGTGTGTGTGTAACAGACATTTTACACATAGGCGGTAGACAATGGGAGTCAGGCTAGTTTGTGGCTGCGCCAGCCTTGACTGGAGACTCTGCGTGTGGACCTGTGTTTGCACTTCTTTTCAACTCAGTTTAACTCCTTGTTGTCAGTATGGCTGAGAATGGCTCATGAAGCTGGAGGATAGAGTGAGAACAAGTGTTGAAGTAGCCACCTGTTGCCCAGCCTCTCCTGCCTGCCAGGTGCAGTGTTAGGGTTCACAGACCTGAGCCCTCACCTGTGAGGGGCCTGCTCCTGCTGGCTGTGCAGCCTGTGCCTGGGGTGTGGCCGCCAGAGCGTGGGAGCCTCCCTGTACCCCTTCTCACCAGTGGGAACCTGGTTTCTCGCAGGAGGCCAGTTTAGGGTGAAGGGAAGAGTTTGATGATCTGCTTTAGAAAAAAAATGTCTTTCTCGTAAGCATAAAGTGCCTATGGCTGTGCGTAAGCATACGCATTCTTTTACCTTTTCCCAGTGGCTGAAAGATCTATTTTCTTTGGCTAAAATTTCAGAAACTGCGTAACCAGCAGTATCTGATTGTAATCGGGCTCCTGGGTCAGCTTTCAGGAGGTCAGCGTAAGGCTTTCCTCTCTGGCCACATCAGCCAAGTAAGCAAGCAGCCAGGCGTCATCTAGTTCCTCTGGATGACGAGTATCCTTTTGGGGTGTATCTTCCCCTCACTCACGGGCCAGACAGAGAGACAAGCTTCGCCCATCAGTGTGGAAGCACTGCGGGCTCAGCAGCCCCTGCTCTCTTCCTAAACAGCAGAGGTTTTACTTTGTTCTCCTGAAAGTTTCCTTGGAAACAATCCTCTGGCCTCTTCCTATTCTTGTGCAGGGAAAGGCCTTCTCTCCAGAGGACCCATCAGGTCTGAGCCGGAGCGTGTGTCACGGGCTGTCTGCTGAGCAGTGGTGTGAGGGGAGCAGGGCCACTGGGAAGGGAGGATGTGGGCCGGTCACAGGGGCTGGGGAACACAAGGGGTATCTGGAAGGATTTATTTTTTTTTCAGTAGTGCTGTGTAAGTGTTCTACCTAAGTCATACCCTCAGCCCTCAAATGTTAGCCTCCTCCTCCCTTCCCCGCCCCCCCTAAAGATAGGATGGAACCCAGGGCCTTGCACATACAAGACAAGTGCTCCACCACCAAACCACACCTCCAGCCTCTGCCTGTTCATCCAGCTTGTGAAGGTATATCTATCGGGGCTGAGGTCTACAGTTAATATGTAAACCGAGTCAAAATTTCCCAGGCCAACTGCTAGTGACTCATGCCTTTAATCTTGCCTACTCTAGAGGCTGAGATGTGAAGGATCACAGTTCAAAGCATGTCCAGGCAGACAAGTCCATGTGATTTCCATCTCCAAAGGGACCAGCAAAGAGCTGGTTGGAGGTATGGCTCAATGGCAGAGCACCAGGAGAGAAAACAAGCTGAGCAAGCAAGCTGGACAAAACAAAGTGCTGACAAAATAAAAACACAAGTTCTCTTCATTCACAGTCCCTACATTGCCCTTACAGATATATGGTTTGTGCATATAATTCATATAGCAAATTGATTTGTTCAGATGTTCAATGTTTAAGTAGATAGAAAAAGGTATAGAAAAGGTGGGAGAAGCTGGAAAGGTAGCTTAGTGGTAAAGTGCTTGCTTAGCATGTATGAAGCCTTGGGTTCAATTTCTCAGTACCACATACACAGGAAAAGCCAGACGTGGCACTCTGGCTCAAGTGGTAGAGTGCTAGCCTTGAGCAGAGAGGCTCAGGGACAATGCCCAGGCCATGAGTTCAAGCCCCAGGATTGGCAAAAAGAATAAGAAGAAGAAGAAAAGTGGGAGAATGTTATAAAATATAAATACATACCTATACAAAATATAGTTTGATAGCAAACCACTTTAATTCCACAGCTGGAAGGTGGGTATGGGCAGTGAGCTCACATGGTACTGTTCCAAACCAGTGGTCTCAAGATGCTGGCCTTCTGATGGCTTCCCGCATTGACAGTGTGGGAATGACAGGGATCAGGTTCAAGGTTGGAGGCCAGTGGCAGAGGTCTAGTTGAAAGGAAATGTGGAACCAACTTCAGTGGCAAATTTCATGTCTCCTCCAAGGGGCTGTTTGTCCTAAGCAAGGCTTTGTCTAGATCCCTGGGCTTAGACACAGGAGCTGGGTTATTGGAGCATGGAGTCCACAGTGGAGTCAGGGAGTAAATCCCCTCTCAGCACTTGGTGCCTGCCCCAGCCGTCCTTCCTGTCCCCACATCTAGAAAGACCCCGGGACACATCAGCTCCATCTCTTGCCAGCACATTTCCTCAGTGTGCAAGGAGCTGTAGGATCCCCAGCTTCATCTCATTCCGTGTACTCAGCTGCCCCCTTTTTTTGCATTTTCACCAGGCTGTTAGGGAAACATCCATCTCCAGGGCAGTGCTGTTTGGGATCTCAGCTTTGATCCCAGAAGTCTTCACCTACTTTTACAAAAGGTAAGTGGGACCTTTCTTAGCACAGGTAGGGAAAAACATGTTAGCAGTTAAAATCTTTAGAAAGCTTGTGGGATGTGAACCTGGGGGAAGGACGGAAAGAGGGGGCTGCATCACCTTCCTAATAAACACTCATTTCTTGAAGACCAGAAGACATCTAGATGTGGTGATTGTAGCCAGCGTGGAATCAAGCCTGGGTGCTCTGTCCATAGGCTGCCATCACAGTGGAGTTGGTGATTTGCAAACTCACCCAGCTCCAGTGTGCTATTAGCTTTGCACAGGTTTCCCCCTCCCCAACACTGAGCATGCTGTAATGAGCTTACTTGCTCTCCTGACCCCTCCCCCATATAGTAGACCGGCTTCCCATTTGTGAAGCAAGCTATGACCTGTTAGGCAGAGATCCTGTGCTTGCTAAATGAGGAACCCACCCCGCCAGAAGGGAGACCTGGGATGTAGGGGCCAGCGTGGGTGGAATATTGTGCACAGCCGCTGGAACCAACGCTCAGTGGACCGCCGGAGAATGCTCTCTTCCTCCATTGTTGTTGGTGTCTTCTCCTGCCAGAGTAGACTTGGGGCAAACTACCAGTCATGTAACTCTTCTTTCAGCCTCCAGTCAGAGGTGAATATATACAAAGCCACAGTGGTCACCGGCTTAGTTCTAGGCCAGCCAGCTGTACAGCGTGGGAAGTCGAGGAAACTGCCAGCAACACATGAGCCATATGTCAGGAAGTCGTGCTCGGGGCAGAGGCAGCCATCACTTCCCATGGTTGGTCCAGTTGGATACATGTGGAAACTTGCTCAGTTGAGGTCTTTCTAGACTGTTGGGTGACCCCAACACTACAGATCCGTCAAGGCTGGGACCTCTGTCCTCCCTCAAGGCTTACACAAGTGGTACCGGCTGCCTGATGAGCAGAGGTGGTCAGTTTCCTCATGAGCATGGAACAATCTAGAAGCTAACTGAGCTATCAGTGATCTCAAAGAAGCACTCTCTCAGAGCCTCAATATCCAAGCTGAAGGGCTTGGTGGATCTCCTAACTCCCCCATTTTGCATCAGAGAAAAAACAAAGGGTAGAGTTTCCAGGGTCTGCAGATTTGTCAGGGGGTCGGACAGTGTCTGAGAGAACCTGGGTCTCAAACCCCTGGGTGTTTTCCACTCAAGCCTGGTGCTCTACCACTTGAGCCACAATTCCACTTCTGGCTTTTTGGTGGGAGCTGAGTCTCACTAACTTTGCTTTTTGGGTTGGCTTTCAGCTACGATGCTCAGATTTCCGCCTCTTGAGTAGCTAGGATTCCAGGCATGAGCCACCAGCACCTGACTCATCCACCACTTTTTGAGCCATGTCGTATGCCATGCTTATGTCACCAGCTTGTGTGTCCATTTCACTTGTGTGAGGCTTATGGTCACACTGACCTTACACCCAGGCTGTGGGGGATTCAGTGAGCAAGGGCCACCTCGGAGCCCGACCCACACAGAGCAAGCACTTAGTTCATGCAGCTTTTTGGGCCTGCACCAGTGGGGCAGAGGCTTGCCTCAGAAAGAGGCCAGAGCTGGGCACCGGTGGCTCACACCTGTAATCCTGACTACTCAGGAGGCGGAAGTCTGAGGATCACAGTTCAAAGCCAGCCCTCACTCGCAAGAAAGTCCGTGAGACTAATCTCCAATTAACCACCAGAAAACTGGAAGTGGCACTGTGGCTCAAGTGGTAGAGTGCTCGCCTTGAGCTGAAGAGCTCAGGGACAGCACCAAGGCCCAGAGTTCAAGACCCATGACCAACCAAAAAAAGAGGCCAGAAGTGTTCAGTGCCAGCTGTGAGCTGTGGCCTTATCTCTTACAGGACCTTGTTTTACTTGGAAAACCCGTGGTCATTGTGGACTGCCAAACTATCTTGTACTGTGCTGGTGATAGGACTGATGGTGCCAGTATCGTTTAGCATGTTTCCTCAAGTTGGACGGGTGAGTGTCCTCCACTTCATCTCAGCAGTAAGAGATGTAATTTCATGTTTGTAAGAGTACAGCAGCCGGGAGACTAGGAAGGTGGCTCAGTGGTAGAGTGCTTGCCTTGCATGCATGAGGCCCGGGGTTTGATTCCTCAGTACCACATAAACAGAAAAAGCCAGAAGTGGTGCTGTGGCTCAAGTGGTACAGTGCTAGCCTTGAGCCGAGCTGAGGGACAGCGTCCAGACCCAGAGTTCAAGCCTCAAGACCAATCAAAAACAAAACAAAGTACAGCAAAAATGTTTAATGCCATATTGGGGCTTGAATTCATAGCCTTGTGCCTCTTGCTCAGTCTTTTCGTTCCAGGCTGGTTCACCACCATTTGATCCACAGCTCCAATTTTGGCTTTATTGGTGGTCAATTGGAAATAAAACTCAAAGACTTTTCTGCCAGGTTTGGCTTCACACCATGAGATTCATATCTCAGCCTCCAGAGTAGCTAGGATTACACAGGTGAGCATTTGGTATGCAGCTAAATTATTGTCTAAATCTGTTTGTAAAAATTATAAAATAGGAAGCTGGGAAGGTGGCTCAGTGGTAGAGTGCTTGCCTCGCATGCATGAGGCCCTGGTTTCAATTGCTCAGCACCACATAAGCAGAAAAAGCCTGAAGTAGGGGCTGGGAAGGTGGCTCAGTGGTAGAGCGCTTGCCTTGCATGCCCGAGGCCCTGGGTTCGATTCCTAAGCACCACATAAGCAAAAAGGAAAAAGCCGGAAGTGGCATTGTGGCTCAAGTGGTAGAGTGCTAGCCTTGAGCTGAAGAGCCGAGGGACAGCGCCCAGGCCCAGAGTTCAGGCCCCACAACCGGACCAAAAAAAAGAAAAAGAAAAAGCCTGAAGTATGGCTCAAATGGTAGACCACTAGCCTTGAGCTGAAGAGCTGAGGGACAGCACCCAGGCCCAGAGTTCAGGCCCCACGACCACTAAATAAATAAATAAGCAAAAACTTATAAAAACAGAATGTCTGTATTTGGACATAATTCTATCCAGGACCAGGAGGGGCTCAGAGACCCTCTGCCTGCCTGTGTCAGCCAGTATAGCCAGTTTTGTGGGACTATTTCATACTGGAGATATTAGGAAATGTTAAATTTTTTAGGTGTCATAGTGACATAGGTAGGTTACTGTCATTATCACATACATAGTAACAATCTTTATCATTTGGAATTGCTTTTGTGTGGGTGCCAATATGGGGCTTGGAATTTGTGCTTCACCCTCTCCCTTAGCTTTTCACTCCATGTTTGTCTTTTTTGCTGGTTAACTGGATATTCATCTGTACAAGATGGTTTTGAACCATGATAATCAGATCTCAGCTTCCTGAATAGCTAGCCATTTGGAATTTGTAAAAGAAACAGCCATTTGAAAATTGTCTTAAAGTACTCAATGAGAAAAATCCCACTTCTGGGTGTGGGAGATGCTTGAGGCAGTAAGATCAACAGATGGTTAGCGGTTATGGCTGAGTGGGGAGTACAGGAGAGCTTATATTCCTTCTACAGTTTTTAGTGTGTGCCAATCATGGGGCTTGAATTCAAGGCCTGAGTGCTGTCCTTGAGCTTTTTTGCTCAAGGCTAGCACTCTACCATGTGAGCCACATTGTACTTCTGGCTTTTTGGTGATTAGTTGGAGATAACAGTCTCAGACTTTCCTGCTAGAATTGGCTACAAACCTTGATCCTCACATCTGTCTCCTGAGTAGCTAAGATCACAGGCACAAAACACGAATGCCTAATTCTACATTTAATTTTGAAAATTTCCATTAAAAAGTTTTAGATGATAAGCCAGGCATTGGTGACTCACACTGTAATCCTAGCTACTCAGGAGGCTGAGATCTGAGCATACCAGCTCAAAGCCAGCCCAGAGAGGAAAGTCCATGAGACTCTTATCTCCAGTAAACCACTCAGAAAACTGGAAGTGGTGCCGTAGCTCAAGTGGTAGAGCCCTAGCCTTGAGCTAAAGAGCTGAGGGACAGTGCCCAGGCCCAGAGTTCAGGCCCCACGACCGGACCTCACCCCCCCCCAAAAAAAAGATTTTAGATGATAGATATTGCTATTCATTAAACATCATTTAAAAAGATGAAATGGTTACTTAAATTTTGTGGTGGCATTAGGATTTGAATGTAGGGCCTCACGCTTACTAGGTGGTCATTCTACTACTTGAGCCATGCCCCTGCCTTTATTTATTTATTTTTGTTATGATAAAGGCGATGTACAGAGGGGTTACAGTCACATAATTCAGGTGAAGAGTGCATTTCTTTTTGGACAATGTCCCTCCTTCCCTCACCCTCTCTCTGCTTTTTCCTCCCATCCCCCACCCACAAGTTGTACAGTTCATTTTCAACATATGTCTAGTGAGTACCACCGCTGCACTTGTTCACCCTTTGTCCCTCTATTTCTTACTCTTTTTTGGTCAGTTGTGGGGCTTGAACTCAGAGCCTGGGCACCATCCCTAAGCTCTTTTGCTGAAGGCTAGCAGTCTATCACTTTGAGTCATAGTACCACTCCAGTTTTCTGGTGGTTAATTGGAGATCAGAGTCTCTCAGACTTTTCTGACCGGGCTGGCTTCAAACTGAGATCCTCAGGTCTCAGGCTCCTGAGTAACTAGGATTATAGGCATGAGCCACCTGCCCCCCAGCTTTGCCCCTTCATTTCTGTGCCTCCCCTTACACTCCCAAAGACATATAAACAAACTTGTAATTTTCAGGGAGAATCTCATGTTTTTTTGCCCAGGCCAGACTCAGACTGGGACCATCCTACCTGCACTTTCCAAGTAGCTGCAACCACGAGTGTGCACCATCCTACCTGGCATCTTGCTTGAAATTTTTTGGGGTCCGGTTGTGGGGCTTGAACTCCTGGCCTGGGCGCTGTCCCTCAGCTCTTCAGCTCAAGGCTAGCACTCTACCACTTGAGCCACAGTGCCACTTCTGGCTTTTTTCTTCTTGCTTATGTGGTGCTGAGGAATCAAACCCAGGGCCTCATTCATGCAAGGCAAGTGCTCTACCACTGAGCCACCTTCCCATCCCTGAAATTGGGTTTTGATAACTTTTGCCCAGGCTGGCTTGAACTTTTCTTTTTTCAATCTCTGCTTCCCAAGTAGCTAGGATTACAGGAGTAAGCCACCAGCACTTAGCTTATTGTTTAACTTCTAAGGCAGAAGTTTATGCATATAAATATTAAGAATTTAATTTTGTGGGCTGGGAAGGTGGCTCAGTGGTAGAGCGCTTGCCTTGCATGCATGAGGTCCTGGGTTCGATTCCTCAGCACCACATAAGCAGAAAATAAAAAAGCCAGAAGTGGTGCTATGGCTCAAGTGGTAGAGTGCTAGCCTTGAGCTGAAGAGCTGAGGGACAGCGTCCAGGCCCAGAGTTCAGGCCCCACTTTCGGACCAAAAAAAAAAAAAAAAGAATTTAATTTTGCTTTTCAGGTGCAGAGCAGAAAGCTTGAAGAGGAAATTCAGTCTTCCACAGAAGAAACAGAACTATTCTATAACAGAGGAGTGTAGGCTATTTTAGGTGAAGTTATCTGGCTTCTGCTTGGAATCCTCCTTTCCTTCAAGGTCTCAGGAGACCCCTGCAAGACAGACTAGCCTTGGAGCTGGGTTCTGAGGCTGGAAGAGGGACAAGAGGGTCCTAGCTGGCATCGAGGAGCCTGCCTGGGAAAAGACACTGTGAAGTACTAATAAACATCTAAAACGGAATGCTTCAAAGATTACAGGTGAAGGTTGCCCCTTGCCCATCTCCAGATTGGGAGCCCAGGCAGCCCCAGCCCTAGTGCCTGCCATAGTTAGTCCTGCTCAGTTTGGCAATACCAGATAACCAGTACCCACCTGCCACACTCGCAGCTCCTCACTGACAGGACCCTGTTAGCTTCCTCACTGGGTCAGCCATGGCCATTACCAGCAGCAGTACCTCCTGTTCTGTATGGCCAGCTGGCTTCAGCTCCTGATCCCTCTGTGGCTCAGGGCCTTGTTCTGTCTCTGGGGTCCCCTCTGCCTCCAGCTTCCCTTTCAATTGGTTCCTCCTAAGCCAATTTCATCAAGAAAGTAACAAAAGCCCTTCAGAGCCAGCCTTGATCAGCACTGGGGCCTTGGGGGCTTGGTCCGCATTGTTAGCCGAGAATTGTTCCCACCCGTACCCCTATCCCAAGGCTACACTGCCATGCTGATGGCCCCTAGACCTATCCTGGCTCTGAGCAAGACCTGATTAGGCTATTAGGGTGTCCGCCAGATCCAAAGCCAGTCCACTCACACATGGGCTCAGCTCCCTCCATCTGATGCCACTGCGTCTCCACATCAGGCAACAGTGTTGCGGGCACCCTCACCCCACCTCATTCTACAGGATGCCTCATCTTCCCAACTGTCCAGACAACCATGGTCTTGCTGCCATCCAGCTCAGCGCAGTAGTGCCCCCTGCTGGTGCTGCTCTTCACACACCTGCAGACAAGGTTGGGCTTCCAGTGCCAGGTGACCAAATCAATTCACTTGGCCCTGGGGAACCGTTACCTTCCTTGGAAGTTCCTCTCCTCATTCTGAATCAGCATCTTGTTTTCACCTGCACTGTGGGCTTCTCTAGGCCTTCCTGTAAGCTGTCCCTTCTGCTTTGGACTGACTTGTATGTTAATCCTTGCCTCCAGGTTTCCAAGATGCCCTTGCCACAGGATTCCATTTTACCCTGTCCCCCTCCTGTCAGGTCTGGCCTTGGCTACATTAGTACATCAGCCTGTGAGCTGATCCTGTTCCCCAGTAAACTCTTCAAGGCACCATTTGCCCTTCAGGTAGTCCAAAACATAGCAGAAGGTGGGTCCCTGTTTGGATGTTGAAACAATGTTTCTAACATCACCAAAGACTGAATCTTGTACCTTTCAGTTTTTCTTAAGCCAAAATGAAGGGTTATTTCCAATTTTCATAAAAAGGACTTTCAGAGAAGCCCAAAATGAATCCATAATTACTTGCCAGATGGTTTGTCTGGCCACAGGTATACACTAAGCAAAATTAATGGTAGAGAAGGATGGGCAAAGGCTGACATCATCGAGCAGGTATGTGGAAACCTTGTCAAAGAGAGGAGCAGGCAGAGATGGAGGACATGGAAAAGGCTTTCGCTCTCATACAGACGAACCACACAATCCCTGAGGCCTTAGGACGGGAGAAAAGGGTTTTCTTTTTCTGATCAGTAGCTAAGAATAATTATGAGAAAAAATGAGGGAGAAAAAGACATTAGTATTGTTTGTCACAAAGTGCAAATTTAATTCTCACTTGCTGGCCTCAGTAAACATCATCTCATTCCAGGTCCTCACTGTCCCCACCCAAGGAAGGAGGGGAAAACCTGGGGGTTTTTTGTTTTTGTTTTTTCATTTTTACTTAAGGAGTGTGGAAGAACAAGAAAAAAAAATCCACTACAATTTTTTTGCAAACATGTTTCCAAGTAAGATGCCAAAGGACAACAGTACTGAGTGTAACCTTTCCTAATCAATATGAGTAGACATAATGAAATGAGTATATAATTTAGACCTCTGCTTATTTGGCAAATGTAAGGTCTTCAACTATGAAAAAGGTACAGACTACTTTTACTGAAGCCTTTGAAGATGTTCACATTCTCTGGCCATGGGCCCTGCAAAAAACTGAGTCACTACCTTACCAATCACATGAAGGCTTTGTTTCAGGCCCAGAGATTCATACTGAAAGGGCCTTCTATGTATGCTACCAGACAAGGACTGATTTCTTTCCTAAATGTTGCCATAGCAGGATTAAATTTAGAGTGTTGACTTAAATCTGCCAAATGCTTATATCAGTGCAGTATAAATATGGATTATTAAAGTCTACTGAAGTATAAAATCTATGCAAAACCCTCATAATATAGGCAAAACGTTCAAAGGCCAAGAAAAAAAATCTTTTACAAGAAGGTGCAACTGCAGAGCCTCTTGGATGATCTAGACAGTTCTGCAGAAAACTTAGCAGTTTGGCTCAGAAAGTAGAGTTCCTCATGAGGCATTACAGTTCTTCCTGGAAGAATACAAAGCAAAACTTCAGGCAGCTTTCTGAAAAATTAATGTTAGTTTATGGCTACATGAGGAGGCAAAAGGGAATGTGTACTGAGGCTTTTGCCTATGCAGGATCTGCTCTTCCCTCACTCCAAGACGACGCTGGCTCACACCAGATGTAGTAGAAACAACACTCCCACATGGACAGCAGGCAGGGAGGAAATCACGAGTGTTTTTTCAGGGCTTTTGGGGTTAGATCTCAATACTTTCAAATAAATTGCTAAAAATAGAACATTTCCTCTGTAATCTTCAGTAATTTACATCGTTAATGGAAAATCAGAATGAAAGGAAACCTTTACATCAGACGACCAGACAGTCTGGCTCACAGTCAGATTTTCAGCATTTGCTCAGCTGCTGCTAGATGGTATAGATAGTTTTCTGTTGCTGGTGGAAATCGTTTCTGCTTTAGTGCCTCAAAATTGAGGACTCTCTTTCCTCCATCGTTGGAGACTTCGGAAAATGGAGCTAGGTTGGTGAAGATTTCTTTTGTTTTTAGGGCAATATCCTTCAATAGAGCAGAATACAAAGCGGTATGTTAGTACCTAAAAATAGTGAGTTTTTCTCTAGAATTCGGCTGTTTACTAGTTATGAAAACAAAACGACTTAGAAAAATCAACATCACAGGCATTTTTTAAAGCCTTGTAATTTTAAAGTGGCATTAGTGTAATCATGGTGTGAACAACCATGAACAACTCGATTTCCAGAATCTTTTCATCATTCCTAAGAGAGACTACACTGTATCAGTACCTGCCCATCCCCAACCCTCAGAATCCTAGTGCCCCTCCCTGTACTTCTTCCTCTTAAACCTGCCCATTGTGGGTATCTAAGTGCATTCACAAAATACATCCTGAATATTATTATAATGTCATTCATTATTGTATCATTAGCATAATGCCCATTTATTTTGTAACATAAACCAACTACCTTTTTGTGTGTGTGTGTGTGTGTGTTGGTCAGGGGGCTTGAATTCAGGGCCTAGGCACTGTCCCTGAGCTCTTTTGAACAAAGTTAGTGCTCTACCTTTGAGCTACAACACCACTTACAGTTTTCTGGTGGTTAATTGGAGATAAAAGTCTCATGGACTTTTCTGCCCAGACTGGCTTTGAACTGTGATTCTAAGATCTCAGCCTCCTTGAGTAGCTAGGATTACAAGTGTGAGCCAGCAGCACCTGACTTCAACTTTATCTTTCTTAGGGTGATTGATATTCTGTTGTGTGCGCACACCACATCTTGCTGATCCATTCGTCTGTTGGACACTTAGGTGACTTCCTCCTTTTGCCAACTCTGATCAATGCTGCTGTGACTATGGGTGTACAAACATCTGAGTCTGCCTTTAGTTCTTTGGGTATATACCAAGGAGGAGAATGCTGAGCCACGGGGCATTTGATATTTATTGTTGGCATGCAACCCAGGGCAGCTCCTAAAGCAGCTGATGGCTCACTGGCTCTCTCAGCAAAGCCATATTTTTGGCCTGATTTGCTGACATCATTTACTCACTAAAATAATTTTCAAACAGACAACCTGCTTAATTTGTTCAATTTCCTTCCCAAGCTCTCAGACATTACACAGTCACATATGTTATCATTTCTAGTCCACGATGCAGAATCAAACCTAAATCCTAAACTCAAACCTCCGTATATGACCAACATTGTAAACCTGAGTGGTTTTGCTCTAATGCTGGCAGAGGGTGGGCAAAGGGTTAGTGATTCTGACTTATATGGGAGTAAAGACGGTCTCAGTGTCCAGATCCTTGGAGGAAGTGCTAGCCATTCTTCCTGGCCATGGGTAGGTAGCAGGCCTACTTGGGTAACAGATCAGATGGAGGAGTTACCTGGATAACCTGGCCATCTGACTTTTCTGGGTCTTCTGCAGACTGAACAATGAGCTGGCCAATTTCTTTGTGCAGTTTGCCCATCGTCATGGCCTCTGTGAGAGTAAGAAAAGTGTGCTAAGTGAATATTTATGACTTTATATAATTAGAAATACCCATGAGGAGCTGGGCGCTGGTGGCTCACGCCTGTAATCCTAGCTACTCAGGAGGCTGAGATCTGAGGATCGCAGTTCAAAGCCAGCCCGGGCAGGAGAGAACGTGAGACTCCTATCTCCAATAAACCACCAGAAAACCGGAAGTAGCGCTGTAGCTCAAGTGGTAGAGCGCTCGCCTTGAGCTGAAGAGCTGAGGGACAGCGCCCAGGCCCAGAGTTCAAGCCCCACGACCGCCAAAAAAAAAAAAGAAATACCCATGAGGGGGGCTGGGAAGGTGGCTCAGTGGTAGAGCACTTGCCTTGCATGCCTGAAGTACTGGGTTCGATTCCTCAACACCACATAAGCAAAAAGAAAAAAGTCAGAAGTGGTGCTGTGGCTCAAGTGGTAGAGCGCTAGCCCTTGAGCTGAAGAGCTGAGGGACAGTGCCCAGGCTCAGAGTTCAGGCCCCACGATCCGACCGCCCCCCCCAAAAAAAGAGAAATACCCATGAGGGGCTGGGAAGGTGGATCAGTGGTAGTGTGCTTTCCTTACATGGATGAGGCCATGGGTTCAATTCCTCAGCACCACATAAGCAGAAAAAGCTGGAAGTGGCGCTGTGGCTTTAGTGGTAGAGTGTTAGCCTTAAACTGAAGAGCTGAGGGACAGTACACAGGCCCTGAGTTCAGGCCCTATGACCAACAAAAAAACCAAAACCATGTGCCAGGTGTTGGTGGCTCATGCCTGTAATCCTAGCTACTCAGAAGGCTGAGATCTGAGAATCGCAGTTCAAAGCCAGCCAGAGCAGGAAAGCCTGTTAGACACTAGCCTTGCATGCCTGAGGCCCTGAGTTCGATTCCTCAGCACCACATAAGCAAAAAGAAAAAAGCCAGAAGTGGCAGTGTGGATCAAGTGGTAGAGCGCTAGCCTTGAGCTGAAGAGCTGAGGGACAGCGCCCAAGCTGTTCAAGCCCCACAACTGACAATAAAATAAATAAAATAACCATGCCATCCTAACTGGAAACTTGGAAGACCATATCTACAGAGAAATTTCAAAAGGCAGCTGATTCCATTGGAATTCTTATTATTCCATTCATTATGAAACACAAATGGAATGACATGATAGAGGTAAGGCATGAGCATGATTTATATCCTTCACAGGCCAAAGGAAAACACACCAACACCAAAGTGAACTCCTCTTCACACCCACATGATAAGGACTATTTTTCCAGGCAAAACAGTTCAAAACAAAACAGCTGGGTGCCAGTAGCTCACGCCTGTAATCTTAGCTACTCAGGAGACTGAGACCTGAGGATTATGGTTCAAAGCCAGACTGGGCAGGAAAGGCCGGTGATACTCTTATCTCCAATAAACCACTCAGAAAACCACCGGAAGTGGCACAGTGGCTCAAGTAGTAGAGCGCTAGCCTTGAGCTGAAGATCTGAGGGACAGTGCCCAGAGCCCAGAGTTCAAGCCCCAACGACTGGCAAAAAAAAAAAAAAAACAACTGACTACAAATAAGCTGCAACTTGAAGACAAGAGCCAGTTGCTTACAGTGAAGAATGAACGTCACCGTATCTTTGTGGGGAACGTTGCAAAGGACATGCTTCCTGTCAGTGTGGTGGAAGTGGCTGAGAACCGCAGGGGCTGAGGCTCTTTGCCACCAGTGGAGGAAACTTAACTCACATCAGCCACAACCTGGCTGCTGTCTGCAACAAGACTGACAGAAAGTTCTTGTCACCTCCAGGGACAAACTCCATTCAAATAGTGCCAATAGGAATATGCTTGCTTTATAGACTCAGAAGAGATGCCCTTTCTGACCTTAACTTTTTTTTTTTTTTGTGAGTTGTGGGGCCTGAATTCTAGGCCTGGGCGCTGTCCCTCAGCTCTTCAGCTCAAGGCTAGCACTCTACCACTTGAGCCACAGCGCCACTTCTGGCTTATTCTGCTTATGTGGTGCTGAGGAATTGAACCCAGGGCCTCATGCATGTGAGGCAAGCACTCTACCACTGAGCCACCTTCCCAGCCTATGGCCCCATCTTTAAGTAGCCTTAAGTAGCTAGTTTTCTGTCTCTTTGGTTTTACAAAGAGCAGTATCTGAGCTACGTGTGGTGGTAAACACTTCGCCCCAACCCCCCTCCAGTTGTGGGGCCTGAACTCTGGGCTTGGGCGCTGTTCCTCAGCTCTTCATCTCAAGGCTAGCACTCTATCACTTAAGCCACAGCACCACTTGCGGGTTTTTCTTTTCATTGTTAATTGGATAATAGTCTCACAGACTTTCTTGATTGGCTTGACTTCAAAGGGTGATCCTCAGATCTCAGTCTCTTAAGATGATCCACGGGCACCCAACCCAATTCTGGCTTTCTTAATTTGAAGTTGCTAGATAAAACCTCACAGAGACAGAATATGAAAGAGATTCTGAACATGTTAGCATTCCGCTTTTCCTACTTTTAGGAAAAAGGTAATGACCACAAAAAGCTACTACCACTAATCCTGACTGCTAACATGTCTAGGTCTGAAGGAACAAATGATATGGACACTGAAAATCTCTCCAGCGGGCTGGGAAGGTGGCTCAGTAGTAGAGCCCTTGTCTTACATGCATGAGGCCCTGGGTTCGATTCCTCAGCACCACATAAGCAAAAAGAAAAAAGCCGGAAGTGGCGCTGTGGCTCAAGTAGTAAAGCGCTAGCCTTGAGCTGAAGAGCTGAGGGACAGCGCCCAGGCCCACAGTTCAGGCCCACGACTGGACCCAAAAAAAAAAAAAAAGAAAAAGAAAATCTCTCCAGCTTCCACAGACCAGGTTAAGTCGGCTCTGAAACACTTGTTTCCAAAAATCATCCTAAAAAACAAGCCAGGCACTGGTGGTTCCTACCTGTCAGGACGCTGAGATCTAAGGATTACAGTTCAGAGCCAGCCAGCACAGGAAAGGCTGAGACCTAAGGACTGCAGTTCAGAGCCAGCCAGCACAGGAAAGGCTGAGATCTAAGGATTACAGTTCAGAGCCAGCCAGCACAGGAAAGGCTGAGACCTAAGGACTGTAGTTCAGAGCCAGCCAGCACAGGAAAGTCTGTGAGACCCTCCCCCCCCTCTTTTTTTTTGTCAGTTATGGGCCTAAAATTCAGGGCCTGGGCACTGTCCCTGAGCTTTTTTGCTTAAGGCTAATGCTCTACCACACTAAGCCACAGCACCACTTCTAATTTTCTGGTGGTTAAATAGACATAAGAATCTCATGGACTGGGCTGGGAAGGTGGCTCAGTGGTAGAGCCCTTGTCTTACATGCATGAGGCCTTGGGTTCGATTCCTCAGCACCACATAAGCAGAAAAAAAAAGCTGGAAGTGGTGCTGTGGCTCAAGTGGTAGAGCACTAGCCTTGAGCTGCAGAGCTGAGGGACAGCAGTGCCCCAGCCCAGAGTTCAGGCCCCACAACCAACAACAACAAAAAAAAGACTCATAGACTTTCCTGCCCAGGCTGGTTTTGAACCGCAATTCTCAGATCTCAGCCTCCTGAATAGCTAGGATTACAGGAGTAAGCCACCAGAAGTAGCACTATGGCTAAAAGTGGTAGGGCATTAGCTTTGAGTCAACACCCAGGCCCTGAGTTCAAGCCCCACAACCAACAACAACAACCAAAAACTGCTACTGCTTGGCTTGTATCTCAATACATGCCAATAACAGCACAGAGAAAAATAGAATAAAACAGAGAACTAACCTTTTGCAAGTGGAGCGATGCTGATCTCACTATCAGCCAGATTCACAAACACATCATAAAGATCTGGTCTATTGCTCACCTCCAAGTCTACAAAGCCGGCAATGTAACCTGTATTACCAAGATGATCAAATTATTGGAGCAGGAAGAAATTGAATATATCAAGAGAGAACTGAGTCTCACAGGTCATCATCTACTTTTCTTCATGGTTTTATATATGCAGAAACATTTGCTGTACCCTATGGCACTGATTAAAATTACATTAATGTCAACTGCTGGAAGAAATTCACACAACTCAAAATGTTCCAAAGTTTGACTTCAGTGCCAAAGAGCAAAGTTGAAGGGAAGCATTTGCTTTTTGGTCTTTGTTATTTGGATCAAGAATGCCTGAAGACAGGCTGGGAATGTGGCTCAGTGGTAGAGTACTTGCCTAGCACGCATGAAGCCCTGGGTGGATTCCTCAGTATTACATAAACAGAAAAAGCTGGAAGTGGCGCTGTGGCTCAAGTGCTAGCCTTCAGCAAAAGAAGCTCAGGGACAGTGCCCAGGCCCAGAGTTCAAGCCCTAGGACTGGCAACAACAACTACTACTACAACAACAAAGAATGTCTGAGGAAAGATGGGTATGTGGCTCAAGTGCTAAAGCACTTGCCTAACAAACTATCTTGCTAAGTTGGAGGCATAGCTCAAGGGAGAGAGAGCCAGGTGTTAAGAAGCAGGCCCAGCAAGTGTGAGGCCCTGAGTTCAATCCCTGGTACCAGAAAATATAAATAGGAAACAAAATTCATTGAATTTTCCAAAGAAACAGTAATCATCAGCACTTCCTTTGAGGGAATGCATATAACACCTAAACAAAGCCCAAACACACCTAAAGCAGAACTTCTCCTCCCCATATGCTGTTGCCTACCTGGGCACATCTGCAGGGCTTCTAGCTCATCGGCACTGAGGTGCACATAGGAATGCAGGATAGTCCAGTCTTGTCGATGCCACACCAAGGCAGGCAAAGTCCTGGGGAATCAAGGCAAGAAGTCTATCACATGGTTGCTGGCCTACACCTTGGATGTTCACTTCCTTATCCTGAGAGGAAACAAAGGAGTAGAGTCCTGTACCCATAGGCTTCATATTATAATGTTTTCTGTGTGTGTGTGTGAATGTGAGTACTGGGGCCTGAACTAAGGGCCTACACACTGTGTGTGTGTGTGTGTGTGTATAAGGGCCTACACACTGTGTGTGTGTGTGTGTGTACTGGGGCCTGAACTAAGGGCCTACACACTGTCCCTGAGCTTTTTTGCTCAAGACCAGCGCGCTACCACTTGAGCCAAAAATCTACTTCTGGCTTTTTGGTGATTAACTGGAGATAAGAATCTCAGGACTTTCCTGCTTTGGCTGGCTTCAGATCTTGAGCCTCAGATCTCAGCCCCCTGAGTAGCTAGGTGTGAGCACTGGCATGTGGCTAACAATGTCACATTTTAAACTATACTTTTTGGGTAAAATCAGCTCCAAAAAGCTCAAGATACAGTATGATGATTCTAAAGTCTTTCTTTAAACATGCGACTGTCTAAACTGGCCATGGGGAGGGAGCTTGGGACTAATAACCAAAGTGGTCCCTGTGATCAAGAAATTCTATAGAAGTCTCCCATTTAGACTTAAGATTCTGGCCATACCTGCAAATCATGTCATGATTGTTTTCAGACAACACGGGTTTCCATAAAAATCCTAAAGACAGTTTTGTCTTTACTGTACTGTAGGTACTGTAGGAAGATGTACAGAATGTATCTGTAGCTTTGGAAACCCCTGGTGTGTGGTGACAGCTCAGCAGCTGGGGACACCCAGTTTCAGAAGCAATAGGTTATGCTGTAACAATATACAGAGTTTTGAGGCCAGACCGGGAGGGTGAAAGTTCTGGTGCTCTCACTTCAGGTAAGATAATCATAATCCTAACCATTGCAAATATTAAGGGCAAGGCACATGCATAAGCACATTACATATTTCCAGTCCCCAAATCAAACTAAAAAGCAAGTATTATAATCTTCATTTTATGAATAAAGACATTAGGGTTAGGGACACTCAGTATGTTTTATTGTGGTCACAGAGCTAACAAACTTCCCTGTCCGAATTTATACCTAGGCCTTTCTGTCTATAAAGTCCTCCTCCTTTTCATTAGCTTACCACTTAGCCTCTGCCAGCCTCAATTTTCTCATTCATAAAACAGAGTAATGACGCTTCCTTGATGAAGCTCAATAATTTAAGGTAGGTCTTACTTAGATAATGCTCATCATGCAATAAACTCAGCACAAATGCTAACTCATCTTATTTTTCAAAGAGAATTGAAGGATAAGTTGGATTTGGTAAACAAAAACTTTTAGAAACTCACCATAACGATGAGAAAGAAGGAATGACACACTAAAAACAGAGATCAAGGCCAGGTGCTTGTGGCTTGTGCCTGTAATCTTAGCTATTCAGAAGATTAAGATCTGAGGACTACTGTTTGAGCTAGCCCAAGCAGGAAAGTCTGTGCAACTCTCATCTCCAATTAACAACCAAAAAACCAGAAGTGGATCTGTGGCTCAAGTGGTAGAGTAACAGCCTTAAGCAAAAAAAAGCTCAAGGACAGTGTGCAGGCCCTGAATTAAAGCCCTAGGATGGGCACAAGACAAAAACAAAAAACTACCACCAGAGATCAATAAACTACGCACTATGGGCCAGCTGCCTGTCTTTGTACATAAAGTTTGACACAGCTATGCTCACTCATTTACATACAACTCAGAGGTTGGGACAAAGGCCATATAGCTCAAAAGCCTCATATATTTACTCTGCTGAAAGAAAAGTTTGCTAACTTCCTATTTTAAAATATTCCTATTTCTGCCGGGAGCCTGTGGCTCACGCCTGTAATACTAGCTACTCAAAAGGCTGAGATCTGAGAATTGCAGTTCAAAGCCAGCCCGGGCAGGAAATGTCTGTGAGACTCACTTTCAATAAACCACCAGAAAATGGGAAGTGGCGCTGTGGCTCAAGTGGTAGAGCACTAGCCTTGAGCTGAAGAACTGAGGGACACGCTCAGGCCCAGAGTTCAAGACCCATGACCCACAAAAGAAAAAGAAAAAAAAAATCCTATTTCTAATGCTGAAGAAGAATCTGTCCACTAGATCTGACCTATTAGGCCAAAATGGCGTGTTGTGTACTTGTACTTGTACTAGTGCCTGAACTCAGGGCCTTGTGCTCTCACTCATTTTGTTTTTTTCTGCTCACAACCGTAGCTCTACCACTTGAACCATGCTTCCAATATAGCATTTTGCTGATTGATTACAGGAAGAATCTCTCAAGCTTTTCCACCAAAGGTGGCTTCAAACTATGATCTTCAGATTTCAATCATGTAAGTAGCTAGAATTTCAGGTATGAGTCATGCAGCCAAGCCAATACTATTTACACCAAATATGCAACAAAACACAGCACACAGTGGCATCTAGTATCTCAATCTGCCAAGAAAATTCATTCTGAGCTGGGCGCTGGTGGCTCACGCCTGTAATCCTAGCTACTCAGGAGGCTGAGATCTGAGGATCATGGTTCAAAGCCAGCCCGGGCAGGAAAGACCGTGAGACTCCTATCTCCAATAAACCACCAGAAAACCGGAAGTGGCGCTGTAGCTCAGGTGGTAGAGCGCTCGCCTTGAGCTGAAGAGCTGAGGGACAGCGCCCAGGCCCAGAGTTCAAGCCCCATAACCGACAAAAAAAAAAAAAAAGAAAATTCATTCTGTTTAAATAATTAATGATGATACCTGGTAAATTCCTGGACAGCTTCTATTTTGGGGTGATAGACGACAATTCGTTTTTTTAGCATCAGTGCAGTGTGTAATATAACAGTTTCCATTCCAAATTGAGATACTATGTCTAAAAAGAAACAGAAATTACCATGTTACTGCATTAAATGTTATGTAATGGCATAGAACTTTTTTATTTTGGCCAGTCGTGGGGCCTGAACTCTGGGCCTAGGCGCTGTCCCTCAGCTCTTCAGCTCAAGGCTAGTACTCTACCACTTGAGCCACAGCGCCACTTCCAGCTTTTTCTGCTCATGTGGTGCTGAGGAACTGAACCCCGAGCCTCATGCCTGCAAAGCAAGCACTCTACCACTGAGCTTCCCACTCTACCACTTCCCAGCCCCTGGCATAAAACTTTTAACCAAAAAGAATTCTCATCATACAAATACAAAATTTATTTTTAATGTAGAAGATAGACCTAGGCAGATGTTAAGCACAAAAGCATCTCATTTGGTGGATGGGTATATTATCCATGTCTGTACACCAAGATGAGTCTTAGCTGATGATAATAACTGGCCCACAAGGGACTCTATGATGGATGTACAGAGAAGCCAGACTAACAAGGAAGTAAAATATCTGATGTGAAGAACCAACATCTTTCTTTTTCCTTATTCAAAAGTTCACTAACCCACTCCCGTGACATTACATAGGTCCTTACTAGCTAATGTGAAAGAACACTAAAGACCTCAACATTCTCAGAAACCACAAAGGACAGCAGGTAGGGTATAGCCCTGGGGGGATCAGTGGTTCATGCCTGTAATCCTAACTACTAAGGAGGCTGAGATCTGAGGATCATGGCTCAAAGCCAATCTGCACAGCAAGAAAGTCTATGAGACTGTTACATCCAGTTAACCACCAAAAATCTGGAAGTGGCGCAAGTAGTAGAGTTCAAGCCCCAGGATTGGCACAAAAAAAAAAAAAAAAAAGCAGTCAGGCTCTGACATGGAGGAATGGAGGATAGCCTCACCTGCAGAATTCCCCTTCTCCTTACTCTAGAGTATACAGAGCAACCTCTGCCATCTGGATTTTCCAGACAGGAGCTGGATTAGGGACTCTGGGCCAGCAGCTTGAGGGCTCTTGATAGAAGAGCTAACTGCTAAGATGTAAGGAAAGAACAACTATGAAAGTCCGGGGAAGAAGTGGTGCTGTGGCTCAAGTGGTAGAGCACTAGCCTTGAGCCTTGAGCTGAAGGACAGCTGAAGGCCCAGTTCAAGCCCCACGACAAAAAAAAAAGAAAGTCAGGGGAGCACTCAAGCCATGAAATCCAGCTTACTGATGAAAGAACATTTCTGTAACAACCAAGAGAATAATACGGAAAGTGATGCCACAAAGAATGCTTTCTAATAGGGATATATAAGGTTAAAGTGCCCTCCTATGTAGAAAACACATTAGAGAGATGAAAATGAGACCTTTTGTTATTGGCCTGGGTTTTGTTTCTTGTCTTCCTTTGCCTTTTTCCTTACCTTTGATGGAACCTGCCAGATATGCCTTTCGAACATCAAAGTCCTTACTAAGGAATGACCCATTTTCTTCACTCTGGCATATCCCCTTGGTGAGAACTGCAATGTAACTCTCCATCATTTTAACTGGGCTCCCATGTTTCACATACATTCTGTAAGAAAGGGCAAGAAGTGGCCATGCTTTCACCTGGTGTGAATCACATGACGAAATGCACTGAGGTTAGGCACCGGTACTTGCTACATAGTCTAAAGCCAGTTTGCAAATACACTTCTGCATGTCTAAGCCTTCCCAAATGTATTTCTTCTCTCATGAGGTTAGAAAACACTGGATAGATCTACCACAATCTCTGAAGGCAGCTCTCTCCATACATACGGAGAAGACTATAGAACTTCCCTATGGAAACAGAATTAACGATGGGCCTTCTGAGGCCCATTATTCCCAGGAATATTGCATTATGTTTTTAATGTCACATGTTCTCAACTAGTGTACTTAGTCATACAACTCTGTTTTACTGCTGCAATTTCCTTTGGCAGGAAGTTTTATGCATTGTTCCCAGCAAAAGCAGTAATTAGCTGTAGAATACATACTTATTATCAGAGCTCCCAGAGGTAGCTATATTTAGATAATTAAGAAATCCAAGTTCTTTCAAGTTTCCAGTGATAAATGCAGCATGCCATAAAGGTGAACTACCATGTTATCCTACGATGAAAAAATGATTTCTCTGAGTGTGCACAGGCTTGTGTATATAGGTGTGCATGGGCATGTGGGTGTGTACACGAAGGTTGAAGGCAGAAAGGGCATGAGGAGGCTGGTATTAGCAGAGTCCTCCTTTCTTCTCTGTGACAGAGGAATCCATAATACTATGTCTGCAGCAGCTAGAAAATCTCTGGCCTTCCACCTGGGCAGAAAGTAGGGTCTGGCCGGGCGCCGGTGGCTCACGCCTGTAATCCTAGCTACTCAGGAGGCTGAGATCTGAGGATCGCGGTTCAAAGCCAGCCTGGGCAGGAGAGACTGTGAGACTCCTATCTCCAATTAACCACCAGAAAATCGGAAGTGGCGCTATAGCTCAAGTGGTAGAGTGCTCGCCTTGAGCTAGAGCTGAGGGATAGCACCCAGGCCCAGAGTTCAAGCCCCACGACCGACAAAAAAAAGAAAGTAGGGTCTGAAGCAACTCTTCCTTCTGGGCCCTGGAATACTTCCAGGGAATTCCACTGAGTAACCTAATTCTAACTCAATCAAATGCAGTAGAGTCCAGTATTTGTTCAAAAACACCTCTGCTGAGGTTTTAGTTTGTGGCTCCTAGAAAGACTCTCTTCAAGTCAGGTGCTGTAATCCTAGCTACCCAGGAGGCTGAGAACTGAGGATCACAGTTCAAAGTCAGCCAGGCCAGGAAAGCCCATGAGACCACCAGAAAAACCCAATTAACCACCAGAAAACTGGAAGTGGCACTGTGGCTCAAGTGGTAGAGCACTCGCCTTGAGCTAAAGAACTCAGGGATAGCACCTAGGCCCAGCGTTCAAACCCCACAGCCAAAAAAAAAAAAAAAAAGGAAGAGTCTCTTCAAGCAATAACAACCTCCCTTTATGTCAGTGCCACATCAGCAAATAGTTGCTTACATTCTACAGTGAGCCATATACCTGCAATTTGTCCAGACAGCAAGAAAGTTTTTGTATTGTGGCTAGCTGCAAAACCAGTAAAATTTTAATCATAATACAATGTAACTTTTAGGTAATGAGAAGATTTTGTTTGCTTCTTGTTTTCTGCTTTTGTGTACCCTGTGTGGGAGGGTGGGGGGTAGAAGGAGGAGTATGCATGTGTGGAAAAGGCAAAAAATAGGGATGCTGGTAGTTCGTTCACCTGTAATCCTTACTCAGAAGGATGAGATCTGAGGATCACGATTCAAAGCCAGTCCATGCAGAAAATTTCATAAGACTTTTATCTCTAATTAATCAACACAAAGGGCTGGGAAGGTGGCTCAGTGGTAGAGCGCGTTCCTTGCACGCATTAGGCCCTGGGTTTGATTCCTTAGCACCACATAAGCAAAAAGAAAAAAGCCAGAAGTGGCGCTGTGGCTCAAGTGGTAGAGTGCTAGCCTTGAGCTAAAGAGCTGAGGGACAGGGCCCAGGCCGAGTTCAGGCCCCACAACTGGACCCAAAAACAAAACAAAAAAAATGTAGAAGTGGAGGTGTGGCTCAAGTGGTAGAGCACCAACCTTGAGTGCAAAAGCTAAGATAAAATAGGAGGCCCCAAGTTCAAGCCTCAGTACCAGTCCACACATACAAAAAGACAAAAGGCATCCATTTCCTGAGCCTATAGTGTGAAAAACATGAACAATTCCCTTCACTTTCCCAAAAAATTATTGGATCCAATATGTCAGAGTATACATAGCATCTAAAATTACAATTTTACCTACTGCTAATATTAAAACAATAAAACTAAAACCCTAGGCTGGGCACCAATGGCTCATGCCTATAATCCTAGCTACTCAGGAGGCTGAGATCTAAGGATGGAGGTTCAAAGCTAGCCCAGGCAGGAAAGTCTGTGAGACTCTTATCTCCAATAAATCACTCAGAAAACTAGAAGTGGCACAGTGGCTCAAGTGGTGGAGCACTTACTTACCTTGATCTGAAGAGCTCAGGGACTGTGCCCAGGCCCAGAGTTCAAGCCCCACAACTGACAAAAAAAAATTTTAATGTTAACTTAGGACCTCTCACACTTGCAGTTTAGTTAAAGGCAGACTACTTGAACCATTCTGAAAGACCTTTAGTGTTCTTTCTTTTATTTTTGTACCAGCACCAGGGCTTGAGCTCAGGGAAAGCATCCAGGCCTTGAGTTCAAGTACTAGTACTAGTTCAAGTACTAGTTTTTTACTCAAAACTAGTACTCTACCACTTGAACCAAGCTCCACTTCTGGATGTTTGGTGGTTACCTAGAGAGAGGAATCTCATGGTCTTTCCTGTTCCAGCTGGCTTTGAACTATGGTCCTCAGATCTCAGCTTCTAGAGTAGTTAGGATTACACGAGTGAGCCACCAAGCACCCGGCTCTGTTAGTTATTTCTTTTTTTTTGGTCGGTCGTGGGGCTTGAACTCTGGGCCTGGGCGCTGTCCCTCAGCTCTTCAGCTCAAGGCGAGCGCTCTACCACTTGAGCCACAGCGCCACTTCCAGTTTTCTGGTGGTTTATTGGAGAAAAGAGTCTCACGGACTTTCCTGCCTGGGCTGGCTTTGAACCGAGATCCTCAGATCTCAGCCTCCTGAGTAGCTAGGATTACAGGCGTGAGCCACCAGCGCCCGGCTCTATTAGTTATTTCTTGAGAAGGGTCTCACTTTGTGCTTAAGCTGGCCTGGACTGTGATCCCCCTATTTGCGCTACCCCATGTCATTAGAATTAGACATGTGTGCACCACTATATCCAACACTGGTGAAGATGGAGTAATGACTTTAATCTCTGCCTACCAAGTAACTATGATTACAAACATGAGCCACCATGTCTAACTGAATTGGTGTATTTCAAATACATACATACATATATGTATAAAAATATATGGGAGGGGGGTCATGTGGCTTGAGCTCAGGACCTGAGCACTGTGTCTGAGCATTTTCACTCAAGGCTTTTTTTCTTTCACTTTAAGCCACAGCATCACTTCTGGTTTTCTGGTTAATTGGAGATAAGAATTTCATGGACTTTCCTGCCCCAGCTAACTTTGAACCATGATCCTTAGATTTCAGCCTCCTGAGTAGCTAGGATTACAGCATGAGCCACCAGTATCCAGCTAAATAAATGTTTTTTTATAGTTGAGCTGAAACTGAGTCTACTTGAATCATGGTTAAATCGCTATTAAGTTTCCTCAAAATGTCACACACAGATCCTGATACATATGAAGCAGCTGGCAAGTTCCTAAGGCACTTAACTTTCTCATTTTACTAGGGAAATTCCTAGACAGGAGGTAACAAGTAACAGACCAAAAGTGGCAAGTGACCCAAGACACCAGGAAGTATAACAGCTGGCAAACTGCTTTTTCTCTTTCCCCAGCCCACTTTCCCAAATCAGAAGAGAAGTCAACAAAGTAGAAGAGAAAGGTCTCTTTACAAAATAGCCGCTACAGATAAAACTATAAAGCCAAGAGACAGAGGGCTAAAATATGCTTCCTCTGTGAAGAAATCTGTTGTGCTACTAGTGAGTGAGACTTCCATTTTGGTATATTAGCATTTAACACGGTTTTATACAGACCTACACAATATCCTAGTGAAGGCAGCATATTTCTCTGGGTTAAAATCTTTGGCGGTCAGAACAATAGAAAAATGAGTCACCTGTCCAAAAGAAACAAAAAGAGGTATACTTTTTAAAGGTACTTTAATAGAATTTAAGATACTGTGATAGAATAGTAATTTTTATTATTCTAACAAACTTCTTGTACAAAATAACCAGCATTAAAAAAGCAAAGACCAAAATTTAAAAGTTTCACATGCTTCTATTATGTATATATATATGTATGTGTGTAACTCCCCTTCTTCTCCTTCCCCCTTTCCTATTACTAGGGCTTTCACTCAGGCCCTCATGCTGTTCCTTACTTTTTTTCTGCTTAAAGTCGGCAATCTACCTCACCTCTGCTTTCTGCTGGTTAATTAGAAATAAGAGACTCAAGGATTTGTCTTCCCCAGCTAACTTTTTTTTTTGTCGGTCGTGGGGCTTGAACTCTGGGCCTGGGCGCTGTCCCTCAGCTCTTCAGCTCAAGGCGAGCGCTCTACCACTTGAGCTACAGCGCCACTTCCAGTTTTCTGGTGGTTTATTGGAGATATAGGAGTCTCACGGTCTCTCCTGCCCGGGCTGGCTTTGAACCGCGATCCTCAGATCTCAGCCTCCTGAGTAGCTAGGATTACAGGCGTGAGCCACCAGCGCCCGGCCCCAGCTAACTTTTGAATAAATTTTGATCCTCAAATCTCAACTTCCTGAGTAGCTAGGATTACAGGCAAGAGCTACTAGTGCCTCCCATACTTCTATAATTCTTTTTTGTTGTTGTTGTTGGTCATGGGGCTTGAACTCTGGGCTTGAATGCTGTCCCTCAGCTCTTCAGCTCAAGGCTAGCCCTCTACCACTTGAGCTACAGTATCACTTCTGGTTTTCTGATGGTTTATTAAAGAGTCTCACAGAGTTTCCTGCCTGGGCTGGCTTTGAACCAAGACCCTCAGATCTCAGCCTCCTGAGTAGCTAGGATTACAGGGGTGAGCCACTGGCGCCCGGCCGACTTCTATAATTCTTTTTTTTTTTTTTTTTCAGTCATGGGGCCTGAACTCTGGGCTGGGCGCTGTCCCTCAGCTCTTCAGCTCAAGGCTAGCACTCTACCACTTGAGCCACAGAGCCACTTCTGGCTTTTTCTGCTTATGTGGTGCTTAGGAATCAAACCCAGGGCCTCATGCATGCAAGGCAAGCACTCTACCACTGAGCCACCTTCCCAGCCCCGACTTCTATAATTCTTATCCTTACAGTACATAAGTAAATAAAAAAACTTTTTCTTAGCTGGATGCTGGTGGTTCTTACCTGTAAACCTAGCTACTTAGGAGGCTGAGATCTGACGATCATGTTTTTAAAGACAATACCAGCAGGGCAAAAAAAAGTCCAGGAGCTCTGTTCTTTTCTAGCACTCCCTGCTCGCTCTGCTCTGTCTCTTCTCTCTCTTCTCTCTTTCTCTCTCTCTCTCTTCTTACCTCTCTCTCTGTTCTATTCTAGCTCTCTCTGTTCTTTTCTAGCTTTCTCTCTCTGCCTTTTTCTAGCTCTCTCTCTCTCTCTCTGCTCTCTTGCTGCTCTTTTCTAGCTCTCTCTGCTATTCTAGCTCTCTCTCTCTGTTCGTTTCTAGCTCTCTGCTCTCTCTCCCTTTTCTAGCTCTTTTCTCTCTCTCTTTCCTTTCCCAGCCACATGGAGTGCCAACCTTGCCTGGTCCCAGCAGGTCTACTGAATAAACCTACCCCTTACCTGAATACCATGTGAGTGCTACTGTTCTTACCCCTCTCTCTGCTCTTTTCTAGCTCTTTCCTCTCTCTTTCCTCTCTTTCCCAGCTCTCTCTCATTCCCAGGCCTTTCCCAGCCACGTGGAGTGCCAACCTTGCCTGGTCCCAGCAGGTCTACTGAATAAACATACCCCTTACCTGAAAAAAAAAAAAAAGTCCAGGAGACTCTTATGTCCAATTAACATGTAAAAAACTGGAAGTGGAAATTGACTGAAATGGTAGAGCTCTAGCTTTGACCAAAAAAGCTCAGGGACAGTGTCTAGGCCTTGAGTTCAAGCTTCAGAACTGGTGCACACATGTAAACACACACACACACACACACGCGCACACACACACACACACACACACAAATTCTTAACTCTACCAAGAATAATTATATCAAGCCAGGTGCCAGTGGCTCACACCTGTAATCCTAGCTACTCAAGAGGCTGAGTTCTGAGGATCACAGTTCAAAGCCAGCCTGGGCAGGAAAGTCGGCTCACCACCAATTAACCACCAGAAAATGGAAGTGGTGCTGTGGCTCAAAGTGGTAGAGTACTAGCCTCAGGCTGAAGAGCTCAGGGACAGTGTCCAGGTCCAGAGTTCAAGTCCCAAGACCAACAAAGAAATAAAAATAAATAATAATTATTATTATCATATCTTCTACAAAAGTTTTTGCTTTCTTTGTCTTGGGCCAATACTAGGGCTTGAACTCAGGGCTTTCAGCTCTTGATCAGCTTTTTTGCTCAAGGCTGATTCTCTACCAGTTGAGCCATAGATCTACTCCTGGCTTTTTGCTGGCTAATTAGAAAGAAGTTTTGTGTTTTTGTCTACCTTGGCTGCTTTCAAACCTTGATCCTCAGATCTCAACCTCCTGAGTACTTATGATTACAGATGTGAGTCCATCACCCAGTTACAATAGTTTGTCATTATGAAAATACTTGTCACTTTTTATCAGGTATGGCTTTAAGCTACATTTACATTTCTACTTCATCACACTCTGACCTTGATGAAAAGGAGTACATTTTTCTGTATAACTCACCACTCTACCAACTACAATACACATTAATAGAAGGAATGAGTGCAAAAAAAAGAACATTCTCACAGACACTAACACTTCATAAGATTTGCAGCTAAGGGTTATGGGAATAATCTTATCTCACTTTAAATACCTTTTGCAAGACAGAAAAATCTGGAACTTCAGTTGTTGTGATATAAAACCATGTTCTTCTGTACTGACCAAAGACAAAGGGATGAAGAAGTTTGCGTTCATCGGTAAGGCAGCACTTTCTGAGCAGCAGATTCCTTAACACAGCTGTCGTGGAAGGATAGCACCATACCCACAGAACTTCTCCATTTGTGTCCTTTTCTATGGTGGAAAGATGGTCACTGTGAGAATGTCAAACAGCAGCAAGGAAGTAAATTGATTGGTTACTGAGAAGCACTTAGTGGAATCAGTTTTAATAACTTATTTTATAAAGTAACCTAGGGCAGTTGAAACTCTCAATCCTATGAAGTCATCACTTGGAATTTTTGTCCACTTCAGTAAAAAGCTTTTACAACAAACCATAAATGAAAATCTAGAGGCTGGTAAGGTGACTCAGTGGTAGAGCGCTTGCCTTGCATGCCTGAGGCCCGGGGTTCGATTCCTCAGCACCACATAAGCAGAAAAAACTGGAAGTGGTGCTGTGTCTCAAGTGGCAAGAGTGCTTGCCTTGAGCTGAAGAGCTAGGGGATAGTGCCCAGTCCCAGAGTTCAGGCCTCATGACAAAAAAAAAAAAAAAAAAAAGAAGAAAGTCTAGTCGTAGCTGGGCAGTGGTGGCTCACACTGGTTACCAGATACTAGAAGGCAAAGACCTGGAAGATCACAGTTTGAAGTCAGCCCAAGAAGAAAAGACTTCCAGATTCCATTTCCAATAAACCAGCAAAAAGATGCACTGGAGATATGGCTCAAGTGGCAGAATACCAGTCATGACCAAGCAAGCTGAAACTGTAAGACTAAGTTCACAATCCTAGTACCCACAAAAAAATGAGAGAATAGGGACTGGGAAGGTAGCTCAGGGGTAGAGTGCCTGACTTGCATGCATGAGGCCCTGGGTTTGATTCCTCAGCACCACATAAGCAAAAAGAAAAATGCCAGAAGTGGCGCTGTGGCTCAAGTGGTAGAGTGTAGCCTTGAATAAAAAAACTCAGAGACAGGGGCTGGGAAGTTGGCTCAGTGGTACAGCACTTGCCTTGCATGCCTGAGGCCTTGGGTTCGATTCCTCAGCACCATATAAGGAAAAAGAAAAAAGCCAGAAGTGGCACTGTAGCTCAAGTGGTAGAGCTTTAGCCATGAGCTGAAGAGCTGAGGGACAGTGCCCAGGCCCAGAGTTCAGGCCCCACAACCGAACCCAAAAAAAAAAAAAAAACTCAGAGACAAGCAGGGCACCAGTGGCTCACGCCTGTAATTCTAGCTACTCAGGAGGCTGAGATCTGAGGATCACGGTTGAAAGCCAGCCTGGGCAGGAAAATTTGTGAGACTCTTATCTCCAATAAACCACTAGAAAACCGGAAGTGGCACTGTGGCTCAAGCGGTAGAGTGCTCGCCTTGGGCTGAAGAGTGCCAAGCCCCAAGACTGGCCAAAACAAAAACAAACGAACAAAAAAACTCAGAGACAGCACCCAGGTGCTGAGTTTAAGTCCCAGGACCAGCATACACAGACAAAATATATGATCAAGAGTCAGCTTTCCACTTGAGGGTAAGGACAGGAGAAGAAAAATGGGGAAGGATGAAGGAAGGGATAACACTGACCAAGAAACTTTGTACTTATAACCTGACTTAAGGAATTTTAAGTCCTTTGTACTATTATTACTAATAATAACAACAATAATGTCATCTTTTCGTTCGCTGTTACTAAAGTCAGAATCTAACTACACCTTAATTCAGGAGTACCATTTAACAAGACTAAGATAGGCTTTGTTTTGAAGCAGTTTTAAAATCACCCTACAAATGTATACAAAGAAATAATTCCCAGATTCACTCTTTAGAGACACTGAAAATTAAGCACACTTCTCCAGTTTAGCTAAGCCTAAGCCAAGCTTGTGCCACACTTGTACACTAGAGGACAGAGTGTTTAGGGATGAGTTACAAGTATCAGGAGAATTAAGACTTTTTTTTTAAAGGGAACCGACAGTCATTTATTCATTTGAGCAACTCGGTACTCCTTGTCACCTTCGGCCAAATGGTTTCTGGAACTATCCACTATCTGGAACCTTACACACATTTGGGGCTGCCCAAGGAACTTCCTCACCCCCGAATTCCTCAAAACTGACGGGGACCCCACATGTGACTGGGCAGGAACTGCAGCGGCAAGCACGAGCGAGCCGGACCGCACGGTGCTGGAGTGGGGGGCCTCAGCGCGGGCCCCGCCACTGCGGGCGCGAGTCCGGCATAAATGACAGCCGGGCCTCCGCCTGCCGTGACCCCCGCTTCCCGTGAGCAGGACCCGGCCGGCGGCGTCCGCCACCAGGTCCCCACCCGGCTTGCACAATGGAGCGGGCGGACGGGCCGGCGGTCACGCGGGGTCCCCATGCTCCACGGAGGCCGCGGGCCCCCCCCGCGCCATCAGCCTCCGAGCCTCGGGTACCCCGGGCCTCCGGCTCCGCGGAGCAGCCCCGGACCAGCCCGAGGAGCCCCGTCCCGCGTGCAGACGGCGCCGCTGCCGCAGGCCCGGCTCCAGCCTCCGGCCAGGGAGACCAGGAGGCCGGCCCCGGCTGGGCAGGCCTCAGCCCAGGCCCAACACGAGGGTGCCGCACCCTCCCTTCGCGGGCGGCGCGGGGGACCGAGGCGGAATTAGGGTGCGGGCCTGCCGGGCAGGGCGCCTGCGTCCTCACCGATCAGCCCGACTCCGAGCATCAGCTGGGTGTCGGTAGCCTCAGCCGCAGCCATCTTCCGCCGCCGCCCGCAGTCTCGGCCACAGGCCCCGCCCACCGGAGTGCCCGCCCCGCCGAGCTAGGGCCCGCCCGCCCTGGCCACGCCCGTCCTGGCCACGCCCGTCCTGGCCACGCCCACCGCCAGGACTTTCTTCGAAGCCCCTGAGCCAGGCGCTGGTGGCTCACGCCTGTAATCCTAGCTACTCAGGAGGCTGAGATCTGAGGATCCCGGTTCAAAGCCAGCCCGGGCAGGAGAGACCGTGAGACTCCTGTCTCCAATAAACTACCAGAAAATCGGAAGTGGCACTGTAGCTCAAGTGGTAGAGCGCTCGCCTTGAGCTGAAGAGCTGAGGGACAGCGCCCAGGCCCAGAGTTCAAGCCCCACGGCCGACCAAAAAAAAAGAACCCCCTGATTTGTACACCGTAGCCCCTCTGGCGGCGGGAGCCTTAGTGCACACCTGGGCACACCCAGCATCTTGCCTAGTCCAGATTTTCGGCCTTCGCCACAGCCCATTCGTTTTCCCTCCCCTCCTTATTCTTTCCTCCTTCTACCTCTGTCCCCATTCTGACTCTATTTTTTTTTTTTTTTTGGTGGGTCGTCGGTCTTGAACTCTGGGCCTGAGCGCTGTCACTGCGCTCTTCGGCTCAGGGCTAGCGCTCTACCACTTGAGCCACAGCACCACTTCCGGTTTTCTGGTGGTTTATTGAAGATGAGTCTCATGGACTTCCCTGCCCGGGCTGGCTTTGAACCCTGATCCTCAGATGTCAGCCTCCTTGAGCCACCGGCACCCGGCTACTTTTTCTTTTGCCAGTCCTGGAGCTTGAACTCAGGGCCCGGGCACTCTCCCTGAGCTTCTTTTGCTCAAAGCTAGCACTCTACCACTTGTGGCTTTACTTTTTCTAGCCTCTTTCTGCCTATAAAACCAACCTCTGGCGGGGCACATGCCTGTAATTCTATCTACTCAGGAGGCTGAGATCTGAGGATCGCGGTTCAAAGCCAGCCCAGGCAGGAAAGTCCGTGAGACTCTCATCACCTGTAAACCACCAGAAAACCGGAAGTGGCGCTGTGGCTCAGGTGGTAGAACTCTAGACTTGAGCTGAAGAGCACTGGTAAGGTGCCCAGGCCCAGAGTTCAAGCCCCTAAAGGAGTTCAAAAACCCTAGGGGTAAAATAGGTCATTCATGCCGGGCGCTGGTGGCTCACGCCTGTAATCCTAGCTACTCAGGAGGCTGAGATCTGAGGATCCCGGTTCAAAGCCAGCCCGGGCAGGAGAGACTGTGAGACTCCTATCTCCAATAAACCACCAGAAAACCGGAAGTGGCGTTGTAGCTCAAGTGGTAGAGCGCTCGCCTTGAGCTGAAGAGCTGAGGGACAGCGCCCAGGCCCAGAGTTCAAGCCCCACGGCCGACAAAAAAAAAAAAAATAGGTCATTCATAGAATTACAGATATATCTTGTTCTTTACCTCCAGGAAAGTCTTGCTCCAGGAAACTAGTGTCCTAAGTCCTGATTGTTCCACCTAGCTTGCTTTGCTTCTGTAAAATAAATAAATAAATAAAACTGTCAAAAGAAAAGGTGTTACCTCTTTCACCTATAAAGCTGTCCTTGCAAGGGTAATCGGTCCCTTGGATGGGATTAAGATGTCTGAAAAAATGTAAATAAATCACTTATCTAGCACTCAGTAAATGTGAGCTATTGTTGCATTGGTATATGTTTCAAAGTAAGGAGAACAATATTTTGTGGATACAGGCAAAAGTTTAAAACAAACAGGAAAATGACACCCTCACGTGCCAATCCTTTTGTGATCTGGAGAGTTTTAGAAGAAATGTGCCTAGCTCCTCCAGGATCCTAATACAGAGGGAAAGTAACTAAGTTGATGTATGTGTAGCTGGGCACTGGTGGCTCACATCTGTAATCCTAGTTGCTCAGGAGGCTGAGAGATCTGAGGATTGCAGTTTGAAGCCCAGACCCAGCAGAAAAGTTCCCATGAAATGCTTACTTCCAATTAACCACTCAAAAACTGGAAGTGGCCCTGTGGCTCAAGTGTTAGAATGCTAGCCTTGAGCGTGAAGAGGCTCAGAGACAGTGCCCGGGCTTCCAGTTCAAGCCCTACAATTTATAAAAAAGAAAAAAAAGAAGATGATGTGTGTGGATTATGTAGTGTGTGTGGTACCTGAAGGATTGAATCCTGCATTGTTCCCCAGGGCCAAGCAAAGCACCAGGTGTTTGCTCTCCTGCTTAATCTGACCTTGGTCCGCAGGAGACAACAGCCCCCACACCCAGCATTCCACTGGGGCCTGGCCAAGGACATTGCCCTTGGCTTCCAAGAGACCATTGGCCATTTTTTATTCTGTGCTTCCTTGTTAAGATCTATATAAACCCACCCCAAAATCCAGTTCCTTGCACAACCTCTAAGCCCACTAGAAGGGCTGTGCCCTTGTTGTTCCTCAATAACTAGTCCCTGCTTGTTGATGATTGAATCCGGCCTATTCCCTTTCTGTTCTCCATTTTCCCAGCAAGGCCAAACCCAGCACTCTGAAATTTGAGATATATTTCATAATTACAATTGGGAGATGTTTTTCTTTCTTAGCAAGTACAGAAAATAATGAAGTCTCATCATTGATGGTAGTAAGCATTAGGCCCACCTTTGGTCCTCAGCTCCACCCAGACCTGAGCTCCTCCCTGCCCTGGAGCTCAGGTCATACAGCTGGCCCCTCCCTCTCCCCCCCTAGACCCACCTGAGCTCCCATCTACCTCACTTTCTACCCCTAGACCCTGCTGCTACCTAGATAGTGAAGGCCACCACGTGCTCTCTGTCCTGGGGAAATATGGCTCCTCTAATAAACCTTCTAATAATCTTTCTCCTGTGCCTGCCTGCCTGCCTCCGCATGGTCCCCTGGAATCCCCTGGACGGATCCTTTCATGGATCCTTTTAATGGTATGTCTGGATTTGCCAAAACAGATAAGCAAAAAATGATGAGAAGGAGGGGAATGTGGCCTAGTGGTAGAGTGCTTGCCTGGAATGCATGAGGCCCTGGGTTCGATTCCTCAGCACCACATATGCAGACAAAAAAGCCAGAAGTGGCGCTGTGGCTCAAGTGGTAGAGCGCTAACCTTGAGGTGAAGAGCTGAGGGACAGCGCCCAGGCCCAGAGTGCAGGCCCACGACTGGACCCCCCTCTCCAAAAAAACCCCAAAAAGCAAACAAAAAAAAGAGAGAGAGAGAGAAACAGTTAAACCCATAGACTATAGATCTGTCCTTTCCACTTCAGCAAGGTCATTGAGTCTGATAGAAATACATTCAGCCCAAAATATAGCCCCGTGTGGTATTTGGGCTTGGGGAATCATTTTCCACTAAGTCAGCAGACACACAGGATTAGTGTTACTTCACCTTCCTTCATACCACATGCACTGTGCAAACATTTCCAAAACACAGTGACATGGCTGAATGGTGAGAAGACAAATACAGACATAAACTAAAGCAAGTTCTTGCCTGTGATCTTCTTGCAATCAAGTGGAAAAACAGAAAGATGGGAGAATTCAGGACCGAATTTATTACTTCTCAAAATTCAGATCCTGAGGCCTGGGAAGGTGGCTTAGTAGTGGAGTGCATGTCTAGCATTCATGAAGCCCTGGGTTCAATTCCTCAGTACCACATGAATAGAAAAAGCCAGAAGTTACACTGTGGCTCAAGTTGTAGAGTGCTAGCCTTGAGCAAAAGCTCAGGGAAAGTGTTCAGGCCCTGATGAGTTCAAGCCTCAGGACTGTCTAATAATTTTTTTTTGGGGGGTCCGGTCCTGGAGCCCGAACTTTGGGCCTGGCGCTGTCCCTCAGCTCCTCAGCTCAAAAGCGCTCTACCACATGAGCCACAGCGCCACTTCCAGCTTTTTTCTTTTTGCTTATGATGGTGCTGAGGAATCGAACCCAGGGCCTCAGGCATGCAAGGCAAGCGCTCTACCACTGAGCCACCTTCCCAGCCCCTGTCTAATAAATTAATTAATTAAATAAAAATAAATTCAAGGTAGGTACTGGTGGGTCACACCTGTAATCCTAGCTACTCAGGAGGATGAGATCTGAGGATCAATGGTAGTTCAAAGCTAGCCTGGGTAGGAAAGTCCTTAACCACCAGGAAACAGGAAGTAGTGCTGTGGCTTACATGGTTCAGTACTTGCCTTGAGCTGAAGAGCTCAGGGACAGCACCCAGGCCCAGAGTGCAGCCCCACAGCTGATTTAAAAAATAAATAAATAAGGGCTGGGAAGATGCCTTGCATGCATGAGGCCCTGGGTTCAATTCCTCAGCACCACATAAGCAGAAAAAAAAAGCCGGAAGTGGTTCTGTGTGGTAGAGTGCTAGCCTTGAGCTGAAGATCTGAGGGACAGCGCCCAGGCCCAGAGTTCAGGCCCCACGACCAAACCCAATAAATAAATAAATAAATTCAGATCCTGAGATTCAAACTTGAGGACAGAGAGAAAAGGTAAAATGTCACAGAGGTAAAACATCATGGAAGTATGAGGTTTAGTGCTCCTCCTTGCTCCCTATCTCTGGCATTGGGTAATGCCTTAAACATCTCCTCAAAGAAAAACTTAGGGAGTAGCCTCATGCAGCAAGGCCCCCAGGGCCACTTTTGTCTGTGACAAAAGCAGCATTTGGAAAACAAATGAGTGAAATGGTGGATAAATAATAAGATAAAGGGTTTGAGGGAGTTGGTGCTGGGTACAGACAGGGAGGGAAGGATAATGAAGGTTGTATAAGTTTGATGGTGACACTAGGCAGAGGTGGAGACATTATTTATAGGGAAGCGGATGACTGGAATAGATGACTCCCACCCTCCTCTTTCATCACTCTGTGCCATCAGACCTGCCAGACAAGTCCACAGTGTTAAGGGGAGTTAAGTAGCAGAGGGCAGAGTCAGGGGAGAGAAGGGAAGTAAGTACTCCCAGCAAACTTTAACTATGACTGACCTCAGTGCCATCATACTTGGAGCTAGCTGGGCTGTGGGAACAGACTGAGTTCAAACCTAGCTTACATGGGCAGCCTTACTATGATGTCAGTCTTTTTTTTTTTTTTTCTCCTTGTGCCATTCCTGGGCTTGTACTCAGGACCTGGGCACTGTTCCTAAGCCTTTCTTGCTCAAGACTAGTGCTCTATCCTTTGAGCCACAGCTCTATTTCCCACTAACTGGAAATAGACTCACAAACTTTTCTGTTTGGTTTGGCTTTGAACATAGAACCTCAGATCTCAGCAATCTATGTAGTTAGGGTTACAGGTGTGAGGGCTCTCTCTCTTTCTCTCTTTCTGTCTCTCTCTCTCTCTGACAAGGTCTCACTTTGCAGCTTAGACTGGCCTTAAACTCATTGGGTAGCCCAAATTGGTACCATCCTGCTTTAGTCACCCTTAGTACTGAGATATGTTATACTCTGTTATACTGTTATACTCTGCTGTTTGGTCAATCTTCTTATTTGGGACTTATATATATATTTTTTTAATTTATTTTTTTCAATTTTATTGTCAAGGTGATGTACAAAGGAGTTACAGTTACATAAGTAAGGTAGTGAGTACATTTCTTGTCCAACTTGTTACCCCTCATTTTTCTCCCTCTTTCTCTCCCTCACTCCTCAAAGCAATGTACAATGCTGAAGCAAGGGTTCTAGTATTTGAGCCAGACCAGTAAGTCTTGCTTTCTAAAAGGGTCTTGAATTTATTCCTAGATGGCCTGGACTACAATTCCCTTATTTATGCTTCCTGGGTAGTTGGGATGACAGGTGAGTACCACCGTACCCAACTTTTATTGACTCTCTTGAATTTCTGCCTCCTGAATAGCTAGGCTTACAGATGTGAGCCACTGCTCCAGCTTCAATAGGAATTTGTTGTTTTTCTAAGCATGTACATTAGTTAACTTTTTTTTTTTGCTATTGCAAAAATGCCTGAGAAAAACAACTTATTGCTTTGGGCATTAAGACAATGGTCTTCAGAGTGAATTGGCTCTCAGAGATGAGCTCTCAGAACAGGTGGCATTTAAGTTCCTCTGTGAGAAGCGAATTCAATGACAAGGTCCAGGAGATCATCTAACCTCCATCTCCCCAACACAAAAGTCCACACCCTGTGGCTCCAGCTTTCCTTCTAATTGTGTTTGACATGTTAACTGAGAAGCTTATTTTCAAACCACACCCCAGAGTGTCTTACTCACTCTGCTTTTTTGACCTAGTTGGTTTGTGTAGCTTTGGGCATAGCTTCCCACATGCCCAGGGAATAGCTGGGCTCAATGGCATGCCAGTGATGTTATGTGCCAGATAAATTTTTCTTGGTAATTGACATTGTGCCTTTCTTTATTCATTCACAGAGTATCTGAAACTGAGAGAGAGTGAGGGAAGATGTGATATTGTCTAAAAAGTAATGTATCTGGTGGGGGAAAAATGAGGGGCCGGGTGCCCGTGGTTCATACCTGTAACCCTAGCTACTCATGATGAGGCTGAGATCTGAGGACTGCCATTCAAAGCCAGCCCAGGCAGGAAAGGCCATGAGACTCATCTCCAATAAACCACTCAGAAAACCGGAAGTGGCAGTGTAGCTCTATTGGTAGAGCACTAGCCTTGAGTTGACGAGTTGAGGGATAGAGCCTAGGCCCAGAATTCAAGCCCACAACCAACTAAACCAAAACAAAAAAACACTACCACCACCAAACCCAAAACCAAGCAAAAAAGGAGGTCAGGGTAAGCCAAGTGACAGCTTGCCAAGCATGTTCAAGGCCTTGGGTTCAATTCCCAGCACCAATTGCTAAATTAATCAAGAAAAGGAGGAAGGGGAAAAAGAAAAAATTTGAATTTGCTTTTTGGCTCAATTGATTCTCCTACCTACTTCAGTCTCTCTCTGGAGTAACTGAGTTTACATGCCTGAGCTACTGTGCCCAGCCTCACGCTTTAATTTTACCTTATGAACTTAATAGCTGTATTTCCAATGCTTAATATACTTTAAATAATTTGAAAAGGAACTGATCAATGTGTAGGAATACTCAAAATTCACTGTATCTCTCAATATTCTAGTATTTGATCATAGGTCTACCAAATGAATAATAATAAATGAGTTGATTCTATAATTTTCTTTGGGATATAAGCAAAAGTCTAGAATGTCAGAAAACTTTTTCTGATATTTAGGTCAAATTTTCTTTGTAAATTCTGCTTACATCTTCCTATGGTCTTCTAAATACTTTTTTGTTTTTGTTTTTTTTGGGTCCAGTTGTGGGGCCTGAACTCTGGGCCTGGGCGCTTTCCCTCAGCTCTTCAGCTCAAGGCTAGCGCTCTATCACTTGAGCTTCAGCGCCACTGCCAGCTTTTTTCTTTTTGCTTATGTGGTGCTGAGGAATTGAACTCAGGGCCTCAGGCATGCAAGGCAAGCGCTCTACCACTGAGCCACCTTCCCAGC